CCCACCCCCAAGTCCGACAAATTAGCACATTGCCTTCTCGTTTGCTGCGGGACGATTCCTAGTGTGTGACAGCGCACAAAGAGGCCATTCGGTCCATCGAGTCTACGCTGTTTACTCTTTCTTGCCTCTCCGAGGCTTAAGTCTGATAAACACCGACACATTGGATTTAAGTGGAGCCTTCTACGCCAATGTGTGAGGAGGAGGCCATTCAGCCCTTCGAGCCTGTTCCGCCATTTAATCAGATCCTTGATGATCACAGTCTCACACACACAGTCACACACAGTCTCACACACACACACACAGTCTCACACACACACAGTCACACACACACACACACACAGTCACACACACACACACAGTCTCACACACAGTCACACACACAGTCACACACACACACAGTCACACACACACAGTCACACACAGTCTCTCACACACACACACAGACACACAGTGACACGCACATACAGTGACACACACAGTCATACACACAGTCACACACACACACAGTCACACACACACACAGTCACACACAGTCACACACACACAGTCTCACACACACACACAGTCACACACACACAGTCACACACACACACAGTGACACACACACAAACACAGTCACACATACACACACAAACACAGTGACACGCACACACAGTCACACACACACACAGTGAAACGCACACACAGTGACACGCACACACACAGTGAAACACACACAGTCACACACACACTGACACACACACACAGTGACACACACACACTGACACACACACTGATACACACAGTGACACACACACACACACAGTGACACACACACACAGTGACACACACACACACAGTGACACACACACACAGTGACACACACACACTGACACACACACACACTGACACACACTGACACACACACTGACACACACACAGTCTCACACACAGTGACACACACACAGTGACACACACACACACACTGACACACACACACAGTGACACACACACACAGTGACACATACACACACACACACACAGTGACACACACACAATCACAAACACACAGTGACACACACACACACACTCTCTCTCTCCCCCTTTCCCCCCCCACCCCCCCCACACCGGGTGACAGTGAGTGACTGTTGTGGGTGTGTGTGTGTGTGTGTGGGGGGGGGGGTGGGGGGGGAGAATCCGATGGCTTGGAACCTCCCTCTGGTCTCTCTCGGACTTATCTCTCCGCACATCTCTGGCAGGTGACTTGCTCTGGAGACGGCTGAGAGAGCGAGAGAGATGCCGGAGCAAAAGGCTGGTGAGCGAGTGCGTGCGTGCGGGGGACGCGCGGGGGTGCGCGCGTGTCACCGTGTATACGTGTGTTGCCCTGTGTGTTGTGTGTCTGCGTGTGCGCACGTATGTCAGTGCGTGCGTCTGCGTGCACGTGCCCGCGCGGGTGCCACTGCGCGGGTGCCACCGCGCGCGTTTTTTTTTGTTTTTCTCTCGCCCGCGCGCGCGAGCGACGGGATCGCGGCGGAAATAAAGTGACGTCAACCGTGGCAGTTGGCGCAGCGCCTCTCATCGCCTCTGCGAGACGTCTCGAAGGATACGCCGCAAAGTGAACCGACTCGGAGTGCTTTGCGGGCGAAACGCGTTGTAGGGTTTGTCACGAGAGAGAGAGAGAGAGAGAGAGAGAGAAAGACCGACAATCTCTCCCCCCCCACCCCCCCCACCCCCACCCTCTCTTGCTTTCTCTGCGTCTGGAGCCGCGCCTTACGTTTCGTTTGATGTGCCGGGATTTTGGAAGCGTAGCAGAGATTTCCGAGCGTTCGGTCACTCACGTAGAAATGTGCTTTAGTTAACGCGATCTATTTCATTGCTCTCTCTCTCCCTCTCTCTCTCTCTCTCTCTCTCCCGCCTCTTGAGTTAGACGGCTGTGGGTTCAAACCCCGAAGTCGGGGACGTTTGAGCTCACAGTCGTAGCTGGAGCTTCAAATGCAGTGCTACGGGGGTTGTGGGGGGTTGTGGGGGGGGTCTGGGGATGGGGGAGAGAGGATAGAGGGAAGGAAAGGAGAAGGGAGTTTCACTTCGATTCACTGCGATCCACGGCTGTTTGCGGGGACGCCGCTGTGCGCCATCGGCTGTCGCCTTTCGCCCACAAAATACACAGTCGCTGCACTTTACAGTGTGTCCTGTGAAGCGCTTTGAGACGCCTCGAAGACGTGATAAGGCGCCGTATCGAAGGCAAGGATTGTTATTATTATTCTCTATCTCGTTCTTTCTCTCTTTCTGACGTGAAAGGCGCTGTAGCAAGAGTATGACTTATTTTTCTGAGGACTGTTACCTCTTTGTTGAGTTCCTCCCCCCTCTCCCTCTCCCCCTGAGCCCCCACTCCCCCACTGTAGGGCACGTCTCCCTAACTAACTGACTGACCGACTGACAGACAGACCGACCGACCGACCGACTGACGCTGAAATAAATTCCGTAACAAGTGCACAAAGGCTGAAACTCTGCGCCTTTTCCCAGCGGATTAAACGAAAAGAAAGATAACATTCTCCGTCTCCCCCCCCCCGTCCCCCCCCCCCCCCGCGCCGGGGCGCGCGCGCGTGCGGTTGCGGGAAGCGAAGGGCTCAAAATAGTTGCCCGCAATCCGGGAAATGTTCGGTTATGTTGAACGCGCTGTGCGGCTAATTTGAAGCGTGTTGGTCGGGTGTCGGGTTTCTGCGTCAGGATCAGTAACAGGGCAGACGGAGCCTTAGACTACCCATGAGGTCGGGTATAATTTTATCTGGTGGCTTGGATGGCCACTGCTTTATTTGCCCTCCCTCCCTCCCTCCCTCCCTCCCTCCCTCCCTCCCTCCCTCCCTCCCTCCCTCGCTCTCTGCCCCTAATAGGTCTAAGAATCTTTGCGCCGGGCTTCAAGCATCTCAGCTTCTCTTTGGCTACGGTCCAAACTCTCTCTCTCTCTCTCTTTCTCTCTCTCTCTCTCTCTCTCTCTCTCTCTCTCCTTCTTAGTCTTCAATCGCCCCCACCCCAAGTCTCCCACTCCTCTGCCTCTTCACACTTAAACCATCAGAAACTCTCACTCTCTCGCTCTTTCATTCTCTTCCTCGCTCATCCTTTCCATCTCTCTCGCCCTTTCTCTCTTTCTGGTTGTTTGGTTCTCTCTCTCTCTCTCTCTCTCTCTTTCTCTCTCTTTTTTTTCTCTCTTTATACATTTCTCTCTCTCTCTCTCTCTCTTTCTCTCTCTCTCTTTCTCCTGTTAAAGTCTCAAACCTGACATTGTCAGCAAACATTGACTAAAAAGGGAAGGTGTGAGTGATAGAGTCAGAAGCAAAGAGCCCATCACTCATTGCCCGGACGTGGGTATATTTTCGAGCTGGTAATCTAATCGACGGGAGTCAAATAACAGCCACCGAATTGGGAGACTTTTTTTTAACCATTAAATCCTCTCGTCAACCCCTCCATCGCATCTCCCCCCCCCACCGCCCGCCGCCCCGCGCCAGCCACTCGCACGTCACGCGAAGTCCCCGCAGCTCAGTGGTTAGAGCCCTCACCTCTGTGTGTGTGTGACTGTGTGTGTGTGTGTGACTGTGTGTGTGTGTGACTGTGTGTGACTGTGTGTGTGACTGTGTGACTGTGGTTAGTGGTATTTTGCTGCTCTCTGGTGGACAGTGGCACTAAGTGCGACTGAACCAGTTTAAGGCAGTGAACAGGAACCGGTTGTCAGTCGATTGACGGATCGCTTTTCCGGGGGTTCAATACCCCTCAAATACAAAAAAAATGCGGTCACTCAATCCGCCGCTGTGGGGCGTTTGTGGGGACGTCGCTGCGCGCAATCGGCTGCCGCGTTTCGCCCGCAAAACACACAGTCACTCCACTTTCCGGCGCGTCCCGTGAAGCGCTTTAAAGACGTCTCGACGACGTGATAAGGCGTTGGATCGAACCCCAGGGCTATTACTATTATTATTATTATTATTATTATTTATTATTATCGATTGCAACTGAGAGGAAACAGAACCTATAAATGAAGCGAAAATAAAGAAACCCGAAGTAAGAAAATGAAGTTTTATTTCGGTTTAGAAGGCGCTGTTCCCGGTCGGTTGGTGATTAGTAACCAAATTCCTGCGGTTTTAATTTACATTTATTTACAAAGTGCTCCGGTGAGGGGAGAGGGGCCTGAAATAGCCCTTCACCTCGTGCGGAGAGAGAGAGAGAGAGAGATGGAGGGAGGGAGGGAGAGGGAGGGAGGAAGGGAGGGGGAGGAAGATATTTACAACCCGCACCCCCCACCCCCACCCTTTACGTCTCCCTCCCTCCCACCCACCCACCCACCCACCTTTGCCTTCTTTCCTCTTCCTCCCCCACCACCCCCCACCCACCCACGTTCCCCCCTCTCCGTGTCCCTCACTCTGTCTCCCCCACTCCCCTCCCCTTCCCCCCCACCCCACCCCCACCCCCACCCCCCAACCACCTACGCAGTCTCTTCGGCCGTTATTTCCCTCTCACCCGCTCACAATATACAAATAAAAAAAGTCTAAGCAAATAATTGTTTCGCTCATCACTTCGGCCCTTCCCACCCTGACCCCTAATCTCTCCCCTCTTCCTCCCCTACTCTAACCCCCGCCCCCACCCACCACCCAACCCACACACACGCACACGCACACGCGCACGCGCGCGCACACGCACACGCGCACGAGTTAGATCACCCCTTTGGGTGACAACAACTCGCACAGTCCTATAGCTCAGTGGTTAGATCCCTCGCCTCGCCAGCGAGAGGACCCGGGTTTGATTCCCGGTCAGGGCAAAATATTGAGTAAGTTTCCTTACTCCACACGCGCACACGCACACACACACGCGCGCACACACGCGCACACACGCGCGCACACGCGCGCGCGCCTCTGTTTACCAGTGATAAGTAGGAACCCGATTGTTAGTCAATTGACAGATCGCTTTCCGGGTGTAATAATCCCTTTTCAAGCAAAATAATAATAATAAATCAGTCACTTCAACCCACGACTGTTGGTGGGACGCCGCTGCCGCCGCCGCCGCCGTCGCCGCCGATGGGCGCAAGTGGCTGCTGAGTTTCGCCCACAAAATCCACAGTCACTTCACTTTACAGCGAAGCGTTTTGAGACGTGATAAGGCGCCGTATCAGCTCAAGGATTACTGTTATATTATTTACACAGCCCCCCCTTCACTTGTCGAGGGTTTATACATAAATTTTGGTCTCACCTCCATGTTTATCTGTGCCGAGCGCTCACACACACACACACACACACGCACACACACCCCGTTCATCATAAATTAATACAGCTTTAAACCCGACAATAAACCCCCAATCCCCCCCCCCCCCACCCCCACCCTCCCAGCCTGTGCCCCAGAAGGTGATCTGTTAGGCAGACAAACAGACGGTGAGGCTGTTTGAGAGTCGGTCGGACTCTCAGACACTCACAGTCACATAGGAACGTAGAACGCCGGAAGCCTGTTCCGCTTTGCTACAAGATCACGGCTGATCTGTACCTCAACTCCAATAGTTTTTTGCGGGGGAGGAAAAAGGCACAAGCGAGAGCGTTGAGACCAGAGGAAGAGAAGAGGGGAGAGAGAGAGAGATAGTGGGGAGGGGGTGGGGGTGGGGGCAGGAGAGGGAGACGAGAGAGTGAAGAGGAGAAGGTGGGTGGTGGGAGAGAGGGTGGGGAGGAGAGGGAGAGTAGAGGAGAGGGGAGAGAGTAGAGCGAGAGACGAGATGAGAGAAAAGAGGAGAGGAGAAGGAGAAGGTGAATGAGAGGGGAGGGAGGGTGGTGGTGGGGGGGGAGGGTTCAGGGCAAGTAAGTGGAGTGACTGTCAGCCCGTTTGAGACCCAGAAGTGTGCCGTCGAACTGGTAGGTGAGTTTCTTCTTGATCTTGCGTATCTCTCCGGTCTTGCCGTAGTTTCGCAGCGCGCGGGCCATTTTCTGGTAGGTCATCTTCTTCCGGTTCCCCTTCTGCATGCCCCAGCGATGGGCCAGCTGCTCCTTGTGCTTGGAGGAGAACTGGAAGGTCCCTCTCTCACGATCAAGCCACCACACACAGTCCCTCATGTCCCCGCTCTTCAGCAGCTCGAGCAGGAACTGGTACAGTCTCACCTTCTTCCTGGCTCCTGTAGGGACCGGTGGAAAGACATCAGTCAAAGCCCCGTAGTGCCAGAATCATATTGCCCTGTTTCGCCCACAGAAACGCACGGTCACTCCACTTTGCAGTGCGTCCCGCGAAGCGCTTTGAGACGTCTCGAAGACGCGATAAGGCGCCGGGTCCCATGTGAGGATTATTGTTACATATTTTATGTATATATGTGTGTTTACAGCGCCTCGGGACGTCCTCCCGACGTGAAAGGCGCTCTACAACATGGAATCTTGTTGTTGTTGTTGTTGTGTTGCTGCTCTCAACGCTCTGTGACTGACCTCCATCGTGGTTGGGGGATTCTCTTGGGGGAACGTTTTCATCAAACTCGCTGTCTGACACCTCGAGGACCGGGCTGCCGACATTATAGTCATCGTCCTCGGAGGTAGATGAGCTGGACGGGTCATTGGAGGCTGGATAAGGCGGGTAGAGTATCGGGTAAACACCCTGCGGGGAAACAGCGATGATCCTTAACGTCGCCGCGACCACAGCTCGCGTCGGCACGGCGCTCCCCTGAGTTTCGGGGAAAGCGCGGCCACCGATGGCTGGAAAGGAGCCTTCGGACACCCTCCCTCCCCCTACCCGCCCCCAGCTTCTCCCCCGCCCTCCAGCCCCACCCCGTTCCCGACGCCCCCTGCCCAGCTCGGGTCCGCAGCCCTGACTGTCCAGCGCCTTGGGACCTCCTCACTTAAAGGGGCCATCTGTGTGGCATTGCTGCCTGTAGTTCCCCGGGCGGCCACGGGGCGGCAGTGCTTCCCTTCTGTCCTCTGTTGGGTCAGTTGGGTGACCAACACACGTGGAAACCCATCACCGTTTGCTTCACGAGATCATTTGGGGGTTACGAAGACCCTTCGGCCCATCTTATCCAGGCTCACCTACCCCCAGAGCACCCACCCACTTAGGGTAAACCCCCCCCACCCCCGCCGCCCGCACCCCATCACAGCATCGAGATGCTTTGTAAACCAGTTCCAATGTCCCAGCCTCAACGCCCAACCCCCCACCCCCACCCCCTCCCACTTCCTAGTCAACCTGTTCCAGTCGTTAATCAACAACAACAACATTCACGTGGGGTAGCGTCTCGGAGCGCTTAACGGTGGCACGGGGGGGGGGGGTGGGGTGGTGGGGGAGGGAGGAGGTGACCAGTCGAAGAGGAAGGTCCTCAGGCGCGACCGGAAGGAGGGGAGTGGGGGGGGGGTGAGGGGAATGTGGTGGGAGAGAGTGACTGAGTTTTGGGGGGTAGTGGCTGAAAGCGCGGCCGTCGACGGTGGGGGCGGAGGGGACGAGGGACAAGCGGGGAATAAGCTCGGAGGTGTAAGGGTTATGTTGGGAGGACGTCCCAAGGCGCTGGACAGTCAGGGATTTGGAGCTGGGGGTTGGGATCAGGAGGGTTTGGAGGACGGGGAGGGTAAGGGGTAGGAGATGTGCCTTGAAGGAGGCGAGGAAGGGGGCGAGGCAAAGGGACTGTGGGATGTGGGAGTCCTGAAGGGTGGGGGGAGAAAGGCGATGGGGGGGACGTGAAGCAGGTCGAAGCCCACCAGGAGGGAGCGTCATGGGGTTAGCAGGTCTCAGAAGGAACAAAGCTGTGTAGGCGAGTGTTGGGGTCCTCTTTCCCCCACTCCCTCTCTCCAGCCCCCGCCAGTGTCTCTCTCTCTCACACACACACACACACGTACCTGAGTGTAATCCTCCTCCAGGGAGCTGGGGGCGTGCAGATGGAGGGGGGTCTCGGGGGCGTTGACCACATCCAGTGGGTACTGCGGGTAGAGGGACTGCATGTGCGACACCGGCACATTTTGCAGCTGCGTAAACTGACCCCCGTCATAGTGCTCAAAGCTCATCCCGTGTGGCTCAGCTCCGCTCCAGTAATGCTCTGCAACAGACAAGAGCAGCTCGTCAACGGGAAGCCGGGTGTGGGGGGGGGGGAGATGGGGTGGGTGGGGGGGGAGATGGGGTAGGTGGGGGGAGATGGGGGGGGGGAAGATGGGGGTCAGGCCGAGGAGTCGAGACACTTTCTATCTTAATAATAATAATAATAATTGCGGCGTTCCTGTAGCTCAGGGGGTTAGAGCCCATCGCCTCGCAAGCGAGAGGACCCGGGTTCGGTTCCCGGACAGGACGGAAGGTTGGGCGAGTTTCCTTACTCCGCACACACACGCGCGCGCACACACGCGCACACACGCGCGCACACACGCATGCCTCTGTTTGCCCAGCAGTAAGTAGGATTGTTGGTCGATTGGTGGATCGCTTTTTCGGGGGTAATAATCCCTTCAAAAAAGATAATGATAATGTGGTCACTCGCTCCGCGGCTGTTTGTGGGGACGTCGCTGCGCGCAATCGGCCGCCGCGTTTCGCCCGCAAAATACACGGTCACTACACTTTACAGTGTATCCTGTGAAGCGCCTTGAGACGCCCGGAAGACGTGATGAGGCGCCTCGTCAAGTGCATGGATCGTCTGCGCGTGGGTCTGTGCGTCATACGCGGTCTGTGAGCGTGCGTTTGTGCGTGTGTCCGCGCGTGCGTCTGTGCGCAACGGCACGCGAGTGAGCGTGTCTGCGCGCGTCTGCCTGTCTGTCCGTCTGTGAGTGCGCGCGCGTGTGTCTGTGCGTAATAGCACGTGTGAGCGTGTCCGTGTTTATGTGCCTGCGTAACGGGTACGCGAGTGAGCGCGCGCGTGAGTGCGCGAGTCTGCGAGTGTGTGTCTGCGCGCACGGGACGCACAGTGGGGTGGGTTTTGCCGGCGGTGGCGTCTTTGCCTTTGATTTCACGTGTGAATTAAAACCTTATCTGATTCGAGAGACCGCGTTCTCTTACGGCGAAGCCTCACCCGCACAGTGTGTGCCTTTGATGCGGCCCCACATCACACGGAGGCATCTCACTTTGAGCCGTAGTGACTGTTGTGCTACAAGCACAACGGTTAACCTCAGCCGCCACCCACAGTAACCCTCGCATTTGGCCCGGCGGCTTCTCAGGTCGGCTCGAAGCCCTTTGGGATATTCGCCGCCGAGTGTAGTGACTGTGCATTGTGTAAGCACGCGCGGCAGTCCATGTTTGGACAGCGGTGAGCAATTCTAACAGGGTGGGGAGGGGGAGGTGGGGGTGGGAATGGTCAGCCAGGACTCCAGGACAGTGCATCCGACAACATGGAGCTCTCTCTCTCTCTCTCTCTCTCTCTCTCTCTCGCTTCCCCCCAGCGCTGAGCTGGAGCATCAGACTGGACTGTGAGCTCAATGTCCCCGACCCGGAGGGGGGGCTTCGGACTCGGGAGGTGAGAACGCTACCAAATGGGGTGAACCGAAGCTTTGTTGAAGGTTAAAGGAAAATGCCGACTGCTCGCCTGTCCCCCAAACACACACACACCCGCGCCCCCCCCACACACACACGCACACGCACACGCACACGGCTAAGGATGTCACTCACCTGTGTGGGAATCCGTCTCAGACACGAAGTAGGAGCAGAATATTCCCGAGGGTTTGATGTAAGCGTCTGCATCGTACGGCATGACATCTGGGTACTGCTGGGAAAACACACCAGACGTCACATCCCCCCCTATACACACACACGCGCGCACACGCACACACACACACAACACACACACCGTCACGCGTTAAACAACCACCACCCCCACACCCCCAACCAACGCCCAGTCTGGCTCATCAGCTCCCGTTAACCCCGCAGCCAAAGCCCTAACTAACTAACTAACTAACTAACTAGCTAGCTAACTAACTAACTAACTAACTAACTAACTAACTGGGAGGGGGGTCCGAGCTGGACGAGCAGCGGGACAGCTTGGCCAGACAGCGCTTACGCTCTCTCTCTCTCTCTCTCTCTCTCAGTGAAATCTGGTTAGTCTCCAGCAGTTACCCCCCCAACGCACACTCCGGGCTCCCCCACCCCCACCCCCACCCCCCACCCGCCCGCCCGCCCCCCTCTCGCCAACCTGCGCCTCATCCTCCCCGGGTGTCTGACGCACTCGGAAACCCGTCACCGTTGCTCGAGAGTCTCCAAACCCGACTGAGAATTCCCCGCATCCCCCCCTCACCCCCACCCCCCCCCACCACACACCTGGAAACCCCGGAGAGAGATGGTTGGGATGGAATGCGCCCTCTCTCTCTCTCTCTCTCTCTCTCTCTCTCCCTGGAGGGACGCCCACCCTCCCCCACCGCTCACCTAATTCCGGAGAGTATTAGGCGCAGGTTGGCGAGAGCAAAGGCTTGGGGGAGGGGGGGAGGGGGGGGGAGGGGAGCCCAGAGTGTGCGTTGTGGGGGGGTAACTGCTGGAGTCTAACCAGATTTCACTGAGAGAGAGAGAGAGAGAGAGAGCGAGAGATCTCTGCATCACCTCCACACTTGCCGTGGGGTACATTTATCTGAATAACACCTGTTTCCTCAGTGTCATCACCAGTCCGGCTTCACTTCTTATCTGCACTCCCCATGGAGGCTGTGTAGGGAGACACGTGGACCGGGCTATTTGAATATTAAGCCCCAGGGAGGGTAGGGGGAGGTGGTTGGGGGTGGGGGAGGGGTGAGGGGGCGACTTTGTACATGACGCAGCCACTTTTGTAAAGCGAAATACGCTCAGTTTGTCCTTTCTTCCCCCGCGCACTTCCCCCCCTCTCTCTCTCTCTCTCTCTCTCTCTCGGTCGGTCCCTTGACCCCCCACCCCCCCCCTCCCACTCCCCCCATTCCTCAGTCCCTTCCCCCCGTCCCCCCCACTCACGCCAAGTGACCGAATTCAGTCAGAGGAGCACTCACAGCCGCACGTAACGTGACCGGGTTCCCTGCGACCGACTATTACTGTTAATATTAATACTATTAGATTTTATCAGTGACCGGATATTGAGACCCCCATCGTGGATGGGACCCGGCGCCTTATCCCGTCTTCGAGACGTTCGGGAAGCGCTTCGCCGGACGCGCTGCAGCGTGGGGTGACGGGTGTGCTTCGTGGGCGAAACGCGAGGCAGGCAGCCGATTGCGCCCAGCGACGTCCCCCCACAAACAGAGCGACCAAGTTGTCATAATAATTAGTTTCGGAGGGATTATTATCACCCCCGGAAAGGCGACCCGCCAGTGGACCAACAACCGGGTCCCTGACTGCCCTAAACAGAGACGTGTGGAGTAAGGAAAGTCGCCCAACTCACACACAGCGACGACGGGAATGATTCAATCAAAGCTTTTTTTTTGTAGTTAATTTGGATAAAGGAGATATCTGCGCACTGGTTGCTCTTCATCAGTCCCTCGTCAGCCTGGATTAATGGTAGCGCTCTCTCTCTCTCTCTCTCTCTCTCTCTGTGTCTCTTTCTCTCTCTTTCTATCTCTCTCTCTCTATGTCTTTCTCTCTCTCTCTCTCTCCTCTGAGTCAGGAGGTTGTGGCGTCGTCGTCTCAAGACGACACGCGGAGAGGCCATCCTTCTGATGAGACGCTAAACCGAGAACGGACAGTCAAGTTTTTCCTGATGTCCTGACCGACAATCCCCCAAATACAACTGGTCGCTCACTTCATGGCTTCCGCGTTTGACCCACAAAACACAGTCACGACACTTTGCGGTGAACAATCCTCCGAAGCGCTTTGAGACGTCGCCACGATGTGATTTTGCAATTTCGTCGTTGTCGCCGCCGCTGTTGCTTTCGATGCAGCGCCTCATCGCGTCGTCGAGACGTCTCAAAGCGCTCCACGGAATACGCCGTACGGTGCAGTGACCTGTGGGCGAAACACGGCGGCCAACGTGCGCCCAACGACGTCCCCACAAACAGCCGTGGATTGAGTGACCAATTTCTCCTTTGTTTTGGAGGATTATCGATCCGCCAATCGACTACCGACCGGGTTCCTACTTACTGTTGGTCAACGGAGGTGTGTGTGCGCGCGTGTGCGGAGGAAGGAAACTCGCCCAAGGTTTCGCCCGCCCGGGAATCAGACCCGGGTCCTTCTCGCTTGCGCGGAGAGCGGTCTCACCACTGAGCGCAAATGCAAGGATCACTATTATATCTGCGCACTGACTGATATCTGTCATCCTCTCTCCCTCAGAGAGGATCTGCGGGTCTGCACGAAGGCACTGATCTTCACCAGGTGCTGTGTGTGTGTGTGTTGGATTCGAAACAGGATGTCACCACTCACCAAAGAGACTTGCAGTGTTTCGTTCCTGCGAAATAAAAGAAAATAATGTCAGTGGCGCCCACTTCCGAACTCCTCAAATAGGCAACTTCGCCAATCCGGGTGTGGTCGAGGGGGAGGGGAGGGGGGAGGGGGGGAAGAGGGTGTCACAGCTCCTATGTATAGGACACGGGCTGCAGTCAGCTGGGTGGTGTGGGGGGGGGGGCACTGGGGGTCAATGCGCCCGTGATCTACACTTGTATATCGATTTTTTGGGGGGTCAGTTGGGTGTCCGACACACGCGGAAACCCGTCAACGTGTCTCCAAACCCGACTGAGAATTCCCCGCGTCCCACTTAGACCTGGAAACCCCAGAGAGAGATGGTTGGAATGGACTGCGCTCTCTCTCTCTCTCTCTCTCTCTCTCTCTCCCTGGAGGGACGCATTCTGCTTACCTAATTCCGGAGAGTATTAGGCACAGGTTGGTGAGAGCCAAGGCTTGGGGGTGGGGTGGGGGGGAGAGCCCAGAGTGTGCGTTGGGGGGTAACTGTTGGGTCTAACCAACTAGACCCACCATTGGGTTTGGCCATTGGTATCGCTGTCTGGCCAAGCTTTCCCGCTGCATGTCCAGCTCGGACCCCCCCCCCCCACCCCCACCCCAACCCCCTCCCCGTTTGCTTGTTGCAGAACTGACTGGGAACGGGAGTAGGAATATTTGGGATGAAGCGCGAGACCGGAATTTATGAATGTTTCATAATATTGGCTGCTGGCGATGTCAAAAGATGTTGGAACAGGGAATTGCAGTCGAGTGTAGTGACTGCGCACTCGTATGCAAACAGGCAGGCAATTTGCATGCGGCAAATGTCCCACGAAAAACCAACAAAGTGAACCTTATCCCGGGGAATTGTCAGCCAAGAAGGATCAGAAACTCCCTTCTCTTTAACAATTGGGTCAAAGATACTTAACGTCCACCGAACACCTCTATGTAACGTCTCGCCCGGAGGCCGAGACCGAAACAATGAGAACAACAACCCCTTGTGTTCGACGTGGCGCCTGATCACGTTGTCGCGACGTCCCAAAGCGCTTCACAGGATGTACTGTAAAGTGTCGCGACTGTGCGTGTTTTTGTGGGCGAAACGCGGCGGCCGATGGCGCCCAACGGCGTCCCCACAAACGGCGGTGGGCAAGAGAAGAGTGACCAAATTACTTGTCGAAGAGGAAGGTCTTTAGACGGGACTTGAAGGAGGCGCGAGAGGGGGTTGAGGCGGAGGGATTGGGGGAATGGAGTGCCAGAGGGTGGGGGCGGAGATGCTGAGGGCCGACCACCAATGGTGTCAGTCCATGGCAGTGGTCTTCAACCGATCGATGGCCGCTAGGGGCAGTCTCTCGTGTCCTCGATAATAACAAGAGGCAGGGGCGAGAGCTACTGCGGTTTAAATGTTCAAGTTTCTCTTTTACTTTGTGCATCTGGCTTCGTTTTCGATCTGACTCCATAACTACACGGGTCCATCGCTCCTTCCCCGTGTCTGCCCGATCATGCGTGCGAGTGGGTGAGTGAGTGAGTGAGTGAGTGCGTGTGCGAGAGAGCGCGTGAGAGTGTGTGAGAACGCGTGAGAGTGAGAGAGGGGGTCACAGAGTGTGTGAGGGAGTGTGTGAGTGCGTGTGAGTATGCGAGTGTGCGTCTACGGTGACCAAACCCCTGGTCGAGGCTGATGTTCCAGTGCAGTTGTGGGGGAGTAAACCTCACTCCCAGTTTGTCTGTAACGGCCCTAAAACCCTATCTGAAACGAGAAGGAAGTTTCTCTCTCTCCCGGTGTCCGGCCCAACAATCCCCTCCAAATACATTCATGGCTTCTTTTTTTTGGTGGTGGTGGTGGTGGTGGGAGAGGGGGAGGGGGTGGCGGCGGCATGTGTGTGAGTGAGTGTGTGTGTTTTTGTGACTGTGTGTGTGTGTGTGACTGTGTGTGTGTGTGTTTGTGACTGTGTGTGTCTGTGTGGGTCTGTCTGTGATTGTGTGCATTTGACTGTGTTTGTGTGTGTGTGTGTGTGTGACTGTGTGCATTTGACTGTGTGTTTGTGTGCGTCTTGTGTGTGAGACTGTGTGTGCGTTTGACTGTGTTTGTGATTGCGCGTGTGTGTCTGTGACTGTGTGTGTGTGTATGTGTGTGTGGCTGTGCGCGTGTTTGTAATCGTGTGTGTGTGTGTCTGCATGTGTGTGTGAGAGACTGTGTGTGCGTTTGACTGTGTGTTTGTGTGCGCCTGTGTCTTGTGTGTGAGACTGTGTGTGCGTTTTGACTGTGCTTGTGATTGTGTGCGCGTGTGTGTCTGTGAGTGTGTGTTGAGTGGGTATATGCGTACGTGTGTACGTGTGAAATAAAATGGTCACATTTCCGTGACATTGGGTTCAAATGTGAGGGACCGGAACAGGAGAGATTCTCCAGCGTTTAAAAGCCAAACAGATGGCGTGAAAAATTTCAGCAAAATTTCACACGTCCTTTCGCAAGCGATCGGAGGAGAAAGAAATCGCGGACAGGAGTAAAGCGATCGGCTTCCGACACCTTCAGTCCCTGCCCCGGACAGAGGGAAGGGGGGGAAGGGGGGTAAAAGGGGTTGGGGGGTTGGGTGGGTGGGTGGGTGGAGAAAGAAGGGGTTAACACCAGCCAGTGACTGCAACACACACAGATTACATTGAAACGCATGCAAATATATTTTCATACATACACCATCGCGCACACACTGGTGCTATTATATGGCAAACGGATTTTCCTAACGAGGGTTCAACTTAAAAAGTAAGAGCAAAGAGAGCGCCGTCGAAGTTGCCTTCGGCTCTTCGAGGGGACTTTTAGCCAACAACACCCTCGTTTAATATTGAGCGTTAAGTTATATCCATCCCCCCACCTCCCTGAAACCCTTCAAGGCGTCTCGACGGCGTGATGAGGAGGCGCCGCCGTGCCGAAAGCGAGGACTGTTGCTCCTTTTGCAGCTCTCAAAGCAATTCCCTAATAAAAGTCTGCGTAAAGTTACGGGTAAAACTGTATCGTGCGCTTCCTCTATCTATCTATCTATCTCTCTCGCTCTCTCTCTCGCTCGCTCACACAGTCCTCTCTGCTACGCGTCTGCGTGTACTTTTAGGTACGTTTCGCCCACAAAATACAGTCACTACACTTTACAGTGAGACATCTCAACGACGTGATCAGATGCAAGGATTATTCGCGTCATTATTATTATTATAATTATTCACAGCACTGCTCCCCGATTCTCTCAACCTCCCGGGTTCTGACTCAATATCTGTTGTGCATCTGACTCTCTCCATCATCAACAACCACTTCTCCTCTTCCCCCTCACCCCCCCCCCCCCACCCCCCCCACTGCCCCCCGAACCCCACACAGACACAGGGAAAGTTCTGCAAATCTTCAGAGGAAAGTTGAAAGCTCGTCGTTAACTAACCTGGGAGTGAAAATAAAGTCACACCGTACGCAGGAATGGGGGGGGGGGGGGGAATATAAAAGACACCCAGTTTAGTGGCTGCAATACTTAGCAGGCACTCGCTGTATTATTATAACAATAACTTGGTCCGCGACTTGGATCCACGGCTGTTTGTGGGACAGCCGCCGTGCGCAATTGGCCCCCGCGATTCGCCCGCAAAACAAACGTACACGGTCGATTCACCCCGAAGGCGCTGAATCAAAGGCAAAGGGGGTTGTTATTCTTTCTCACAAACACCGGGAGTGAAAAAGCTTAAGTGAAGACTTACTGGGCTTGTTCCAGTGTGTGCATGGTTCCACTCAAGGACTCCTGTACCTCCTCGCTGTCTTCTTCTCCGAATCAAGGCTACAGCTGGGACAGACGTCGTAAACCTGCGGACTGCCTGGGGTTGACCGTAGTGAGCGAGTAACCGAAAGGGACTGACTAGACGACTGACTGACTGACTGTGTGCCTGTGTGTTGTATATGTGTGTGTGTTTATTACGAGGGTGGAGCCAGTCAGTCACAGTGAGTGAGTTAGTGAGCGAGCGAGCGAGTGTGTGTGTGTGTGTGTGTATGTGTGTGGGTGTGGCTGTGGCTGAATTACATGCAGAATTCCCCTTTTCCTTGCCTGGAGAGATTTGATTTCACAATCACGGAATTTGCGTGTGTGTTTGTGTGTTTTTCCACTGGCATTTGGAGAGAATACTGTACTGTTACTTCATTTGTATATATATATATATACACACATGTACACACGCGCGCGCACACACACACACACACACACAAACACACAGATATATATTAAATAAACTCTCGTCAGTAAGACGCGATGATAAGATTCCTATATTATATTGGGGCTAAAATAAACAAGACAGGTTTTCATCACAATTTGCTCACCAAGTTGTATAACAATGACGACGACAAATTCTACTTGTGTAGCGCCTTTCGCAGCGGGAAATGCAGGGATTATTCTTATTATTATTATTGTTGTTGTTGTTGTTGTTGTTAGTAGATTCCCACGGGCAATTATCAATTTGCTTTCATTTCCCTGAAAGTTCTCACTTATACCTGACAGCCCCTTTGGTGACTCAATCCACGACTGTTTGTGGGGACACTGCTGCGCCGGATTAGCTGCTGCGTTTCGCCCACAAAATACAGTCGCTCCGCTTTACAGTGCATCCTGTGAAGCGCTTTGAAACGTCTCGAATGCAAGGATTATCATTATTATTATTGTCGTGATTGGGGTGTGGCTGATTTGCACCGTTCCCTAAGCTGTGGTTCGATTGGGGTCAACCCTAAACCCGACCGACTGCTGTGGAGAGACAGAAACCTGGACTTACCCATCCCTCTGTGTGTGAGCGTGTGTGTGTGGGTGTGTGTCTGTGTGGGTGTGTAGAGGACAATTTGGGGGATTACTTCAGCAGATCGGCTGTTAGCTCAATAGCCAAGCAGCAAACTTCTTGTGCAACTCTGGGAATCATTGAACCTTCTGCAGTCTCAACGTCGGTCTGTCAATAGACCCAAAGGAAACAGCACATTGGCTCATTAACCACTGACCATCAGCATCGCAGTATCTTCTGCAAGACATCTCTCTCTCTCTCTCGCTCTCTCTCTGACCTCTGTAGCAGAGTTACCGTTCTTCGGACGAGACGTTAAGAGAAGGTTGTTTTATACCCGACAGCCCGTCTCGTCCGGGTGTCAAAAATCCTATCGGGAAGTTTTCCCGCAGTTTCCTGGCTGACCATCCCCCAAATAATAATAATAAGAAGAATAAATTGCTCCCTTCAATCTACGACTGTTTGTGGGGACGCTGCCGCGTTTCGCCCACAAAAATATACAGTCAATTCACTCTACAATATATTCTGTGAAGCGTTCACCCACAGCAAATAATAATAATAAATAATAATGATCCTCGCATTTGATACAGCGCCTTATCACGTCTTCTGGACGTCTCAAAGCGCTTCACGGGATACACTGTAAAGTGAAATGACTGCGTATTCTGTGGGCGAAACGCGGCGTCTCCACAGTCGTGGATTGAAGTGACCGATTTATTATTATTTTATTTCAGTAATAATTTATCTCTCGCCCTCGCCCTCGCTCTCTGTCCCCACCACCACTCGCCGTGGTCACGGAAGTTCACACCAAACTGCAAGCCACAGCTCCAAAGATACCTACCAGCCTGCGATGAGGGACCTGTGTCACTACACAGTCACCACACTTGACAGCAACTGGACATGTTCCGGCTGGAAAAGAGGTCGAGAGGCAATTTCGATCGGGTTTTTTTAAGATTCTAAAGGGACGAAATAACGCAGATCACGAGAAGCTGTTTTGACTTGTGCTGAACAGCAGAACCAGAGGACACGGCCTGCGCTTGAAGGGCGTAAATCCAGAGCAAATCCAGAGCGGAACCTCTTACTTCAGTGAACGAGTGGTAAACATACGGTGGATGCAGACAGTGGTCGATCAGATCGATTTCTGTGAGATAATATCTGGGGATACAGTAGATAGATCGGCCGGGACAGCGGAAGACGAACTGGATGGACTTTGTTCTTCTTTCCTCCAGCAAATTCTTACGCTATTACCGTGAAGCCTTTTGAGATGTTGCGGCATCGCAGGCGCCGTAACAACAATAATAATCTTTGCATTTGATATAGCGCCTTATCACGTCTTCCAGCTGTCTCGAAGCGCTTCACAGGATAGACGACTGCGAAGTGAAATGACTGTGTGTTTTGTGGGCGAAACGAAGCGGCCAACTGCGCACGGCGGCGCCCCCACAACCAGCCGTGGATTGAGTGACCGAGTTGTTGTTGTTATTTAATATTAACAACACCGGGGTTGTCAATAGGCTTCGGAGGCAGCAGGAAAAGATGGCCCAAGGCTTCCAACGGCGAAGGGCAAAGGAGCGTTTGTAAGAATAAAGAGAACGACACACTCTAATAACAAAAGTTGACGTCTTTATTTCCCTCCACTCAGAGCACAAAAGTCGTGGTTGAAAAGTGAGAAACTTAACACTCTTTACAAAATGTAGCAGAAACTATAAACTTGAGGGACTCACAATGTGAGTCAGATTATTAGGAAGACAATTCCAACCCCCCCCCTCACTCCCCCCCCCACCCCCACAAAACACGCATGGGGTGAGATAATCTCTCCCCTTGCTCGCTCTTTCCTGCCGTGAGAAGATCAGCGAAGAGATGATTCAGAAAACGCAGCTGTGAATCTCCGGAGCACTGTGGACTCTCAGTAACCGGCCAGTCAGCATTTGAGGTCGACAAGATTCAGCCGGGTGTCTGGCCTTCTCTCCCTCCAGCCCCAATAGGTGGGTTTCCTCGCCACGCACACCCTCGCCCTTCGACACCCGTGGTTATGAGGAAGGAATGACAATGGGAATGGTTCCTTGCGCAACCACCTTCTCCAGACAGCCCCTCTCTTTTTCTCTTTCTCTCTCTTTTTCCCTTTCGTTAACCCACGTTGACCCAAAGATCCGGCCAAAGATTCCCGACCCTTTTGTGAGCAGCGTCAAGCGGCCGAATTGGTAATATTTCCACCAATTTCTTCATGATCCAGGATTTGGTTCGGTCTTTGGCTCTCCAAGTCTCAGACTCAAAGTGGAACCAAGTTCAAGTGTAGGCCTTCTCTCTCCCGTCGCTGGTCGAAGGCAACTCCCACACAAAGTTCACCCGATCGGCCTCGGAAAGGCAGTTAATAACATGGGTTCATGATGTGTGGATCCAGCAGGTCTTCAGGAACCAATTCCCTTTCCATCTTCCTGTCCACCCAACCCTCCCTCATAGAGCAATGTTACACCAGAACCTTTATTAATAATAATAATCCTTGCATTTGATGCAGTGCCTTAACATGTCTTCGAGACGTCTCAAAGCGCTTCACAGGACACACTGTAAAGTGGAGTGACTATGTATTTTGTGGGCAAAACCCGGCACCCAATTGCGCGCAGCAGTGTCCCCACAAACAGCTGTGGCTTGAATGACCACATCATTGTTTTTTTTTAGAAGGGATTATTACCCCCGGAAAAGCGATCCGCCATTCGACTAACAACTGGGTTCCTACTGACTGCTGGTAAACAGAGGCACATGTATGTGTGTGTGTGTAGTAAGGAACTTGCCTATGGTTTCACCCTGACTGGGAATCGAACCTGAGCGCTCTAACCACTGAGCTGCAGGACTCAACACTTCCATTCACTGGTCGCTACACACGACACAGCACGACAGAGGTGGGTGGTGAATGTAGGAGCCTTAGGGACAGGGGGAGAGTGTTGAGAGAGGGACGACGGGGATGGGTGGGGGGTGGGGGTGGGGGTGGGGAAGCAAGGAGAGAATGTGCTTTTCACAGGCTGCTCTTGGTCACTGTGTAACCGAGCTCGGACACAAGTCAATTGGACTTCAGAATCTCCGAGCAGGTGTATCTCCGTGGTTCTTTTTTGCTCAATAATAATTTTAAAAATCCTGCTCGTCTTTTCCTTATTTTTTTTTGGAGACGTTCCTGTTTTCTCCTTACTTCGTTCCTTCTTCCCTCCCTCCCGCCCTCTCTCCTTCCCTATCTTCCAGTTACCAGGTAGGAGCTCCGAACCGCATCAACACTCGGTCTTGGTCATCGAGGTCCTTCTGCACCTTCTTCCTCATGTAGAATATGGGGCAGTCACGGCTGTATGTGTGAGAGAGGGGGGGGGGGTGTGTGTGTGGGGGGAGAAACATTAAACATTAAGGATGAAACACTCCTCCTACCCGTCCCCTCCTCCTGATCCCAACCCCCAGCTCGGGTCCAAATTCCTGACTGTCAGGACGTCCTCCCGATGTGAAAGGCGTTGTGCCCCAACCCCTCACTTACACACTCTCCACTCCCCATCACTCAACCTCCCTAATGCCTGAGACGCTATCCTGTGTGAGGGGCGCCGTGTAAATGCAACTTGTTGTTGTTGAGATTGACAAGATTGCTCTGAATGAAACCCACCCCCCACCTCCCACCCCCAGTCTGGCCTCCCCCACCCCCCCATCGTTCTCCCCGACCCAAATAAAAACACAGCTAATTCTTTGCGATCCAGGAATCAGAACAGAACAGTCTTCCTTCGCCGATCAACTCAAATTGTTGCTTAAACCTTTGTCCTCTTGCTCTACCGTTAGGTTCGTCACTCTAGGACAGCCCCCACCCGGCTCAGTGCCAAGTTACTTAGGTGAAGAGAAAGAGTCGAGACAACTCTTTGGCACCGTTTGCTTTCGGGGTCGGGGCAAAGAGGGGAGATGGTTAAAAAAAAAACACACACACACAGCCAAGATAGCTTTCCTGAAACCTCCCCTTTTGGGGGGTGGGGGGGGGGGAAGGCGGAAAGGGATAAAGAGAGGGAGATTTAGCAATTGATTCCTCCAACCTCGCCACTCCAGCAATAATGAAATCCTCACTGGCATTAAGAATTTCCCCCAAAGTGGGGAGTGGGTGCGCGGTGTGGGGGGGGGGGGGTGGCGTAAGAAAAGGGCGTTGGAAAATTGCGAGAATCTCAGTCACTCCCACAGCAAATGCGCTGCCTTTCAATTGCTCGAATTAACTTTCCACTCATCAGAATCTAGATTTTGCTTTTTTTTTGAGAAATCAAGAAAAAGAGGAAATGAACCTTTTTTTTTATAAAAAGGAATTGAAGGCACTTTTGGTGGGGGTGGGGGTGGGGGTAGGGGGGGAAGGGTCGGGTAGGGGGAGAGTTGGAGGGGAGGAGGGATAGAGACAGACCACAAGAAGGATCGGGTGCAGAGGAAAATGAATAAACAAAATACTGTAGAACCAAGCAGGAAAATAAATGACTATTTCTTGAATTACCGAAGCTCTCTAAATATAAAACAAAACAACAATAACAAAATGGCATTTATAGAGCACCTTTCACGTCGGGAGGATTTCCCAAAGCGCTGAATAGTCAGGTGTCGGAGCCCGAGCTTGGGGGAGGGTGGGGTAGGGGTGAGGGAGAGAGGTGGGAGGGAGACCAAAGGCACGGTCGAAGAGAAGGGTCTTGAGACCGTCCTTGAAGGAGGTGAGGGAGGAAGCGAGGCCAAGGGACCGTGGGATGGAGTTCCAGTGTGTGGGGGCAGAGAGGCTGAAAGCCCGGCCACCGATGGTAGGGCGGGTCGGGCGGGAGACATGGAGCAGCCGGAGCCCGATGAACGGAGGGAGCGGGCAGGTTGGTAAGGAGTCATCAGGTCAGAGAGGTAGGAGGGGACAAGGCCATGGATGGCCTTAAAGGTGAGGACGACAATCTTGAACTCGATCCTCTGGGGGAATGGGGAGCCGGTGGAGTCAGGCAAATCGTTGTAGATGTTACTACTCCTCGAAGAGTTGGGTGCTTGGCTCTTTCCCCCACGTCTCAGTGGACCGATAATAATAATAATAATTATAATAACCCTCGGGTTCGATTTAGGGCTTTATCCCGTCGCCCATCTCAAAGCGCTTCACAGAATGCACTGTAAAGTGGATTCGACGGTGTATTTCGTGGGCGAAACCCGGTAGCCAACTGTGCACAGCAGCGTCCCCACAAACAGCCGTGGGTTGAGTGACCAATTTTTAGGGGTCCCAGAAGCCAGGGATCTTTCAGACTCTGGAGACCGATGGAGAAAGTGACCTCGGTGATACGCGACGCTGTGCCAAGGCTGGGAGCAGGCAGGGTCAGGCTGTATGGGGGGGCAAGTTTAGGGCAGACACCAGAGAACATTTCTTTTCACAAGAGGGGGAATTAGCAGCTGGAACAGTGAACCAGCGAAAGTGATCAAGGCCTGAATACTGGGACTCATTTGAGAAACAGCTGGATGCTGTAAATTGGAAGACATTAGGGTGTTGAATCAAGCGTTCCAGGACCCTACCCAGCCCGAGGGGCGCGATATTGTTTGTTTAACAGCAGATATATCTGGTTGTTTACAAGACCAATAATAATCTTCTCGTTTTGATGGAGCGCCTTATCACACGGTTCACAGTACTTCACAGAAATTTACTTCAAAGTCTGGACAATCTGTGTGCGAACACAGCAGCCAATTTGAGCACAGCAGCGTTCCCCACAAACAGCCGGGGATTGAGTAACCAAGAGCCATCTGCCAATCGACTAACAACTCGGTCCCTACGCACGTGGGGTAAACAGAGACGGGTGTGTGGAGTAAGGAAATTTGCACAATGTTTCCCTCTGCCCGGGGATCAAACCCAGGTCTCGCTTGCGAGGCGAGTGCTCTAACCCCTGAGCCACAGGGACTCCACAGGGGGAAAAGGTGCTGTGTGTGTGGGTGTTGCATGTTCATGTGTGGGAGGGGATAGGATGAGACTGGGGATATTTTACTGCATCACACCAGGACTGCCTGTCATATGCCTTTGGAGGTGCCCACTCAGGCCATCACAAGATGGAGTCACGGGGACGGGAGAGCAGTGAAAGTAGCAAGAATGGCTCCGACTAAAAAAGAAAAACAAAACAAGACCAACAGGAAGTGATGCAAGGTCACAGACCCCGTTCTTTCACTTCCTCCTTACGCCTGTCAATCAAGGCTGTGGGAGCCACCGCGGGGGTGGCGGGGGTGGGAGGGAGGGGGAAGAGGGGTAAATCCTGCTTAGTCTAATAAACTGGGTGCGAGGCTGAGCCAACAGAATTTGAGCTCTTTCCGTCTGTGCTGCTTCCACTGGTCGTGAGTCAGTAGGGCATCGATTCAACAACAATATTGTTGTTGAATCGATGCCCTACTGTGATTAATAATAATAATGTGTGATTAATAATAATCGTCCTTACAGCACCTCATCGCGTCTTCGAGACGTCGCAAAGCGCTTCACAGGGTATACCGCAAAGCGAATTGGCTGTAGGCTTTGTGGGCGAAACGCGGCAGCCAACTGCACACAGCGGCGTTCCCCCACAAACAGCCATGGATTAAGCAACCAAATTATTAGGATTACATTGTAATTTAAGATAGCAAACGAGCAAATGGCGAGGTTCGAGGAATTCTTTTCCACACACAGAAGGAAGGTAGTTGTTAGGATATGCAATATCCATATTGGCCTTCAAGAGGGGACTGGACAGATATCTGAAAAAGAGTCAGCTGTGGAGGTGCGGGGAAAGGGAAGTGAAGACTAGAGGACTGATCTCAAGGGAGCCAACCCAGACACAACGGCCTTGTTCTGTGCCCTAAATTAGCCCGGTTCCAACCCGCGGCGAGCAGAGTGTATGGAATGCTCAGCCAACATGGAGGTGCCCTGTAGAGTGTAGGAGGAAGGGAGGAGACGTCTCAAAGCGCTTCGCAGAACACAGCGTAAAGTGAACTGACTCTATGTTCTGTGGGCGAAACGCGGCAGCCAATTGCGTATAGCATCATCCCCACAAACCGTCGTGGATTGAATGACCAAATTATTATTATTTTTCTGAAGGGATTATTACCCCTGGTGAAGAGATCCGCCAATCAACTAACAACCGGGTTCCTACTTACCGCTGGCGTGTCCGCGTGTGTATCTGTGTGGAGTAAGGAAACTTGGCCAACTTTTCACCCTGCCCAGGAATTGAACCCAAGGCCTCTCCCTTGCGAGGCGAGCACTCTAACCACTGAGCTACTGGACTTCAAACGAGAGGGTTTGTATTGCACCATCCACAATAAATGCCGCTCAATCTATCTACAGGACAATAAATCATCGCGACGGTTTCCATTTACAACCAGCTCCCGGCAGATGGGAATCACTGTAAAAGTGAGGCCCATCTTCTCACACACAAAGCTCTGTTCCCACACACTCAGGGCAAGGCAAGGTCGTGGAGGTTCTTACCTGGTACAGAGGACATCTTCGTGCAGGCTGCCCTGGCATCGTTGACACTGTGTCCACAAGCGCGAGAACCTCTCCTCCAATAGCTTCAGGTGAGCTATCTAGGGAACACAAGACAACAGTGGGTCCGGCTTCTCCATCCACCGACAGACAGCAAGACTTCAGCTACAACTTATCCCTTCGCAGCACCTCATAACTGCAGAACTCCTCCCTCATACACTCTACTACACTCCTCACCTCCCTCGCTCTTCCCTTCCTCCGACTCTACTGCACTCGTCTCCCTCCAACACTCTACTACACTCACCTCCTCCCTCTCCCAGGATTTCTCACCAATCCTCACTCTTCCCTTATCTCTTGCAATCTACAGAATTCCTCCCTCCCAGCCATGGTCCGACAGAATGGTGGAACAGGCTCGAGGGGCTATGTTCCTCCCTCCGCTGCATTCAATTTCCCCCATATGGTAACAGGCGGGATTCCCACTGTTGGATTATCACTGCCGTTAATGCAAAGGCCTGCGTCTTAGGTTATGCTCATAACATACTGTGTTCTTACAGAGGGATGTTTACCAGTAGGGGAGCCCCCTCTCATCCCACCCCAGCCGCCAAAGGATTCATACCTCTTTCTGGTAGAGTTCGGACTGTTGAGATTTACAGTAACTGCAGACTGGGCCTGTGAGAGAGGAAAGTTAACATAGAATTTCCAGATTCCAGAGACAAGACACACAGACGCAGCATATCAGCCAACCGTTTACCCCCAAATAGGCCCGTGCTGCCAGATACATTGTCACTCGTCTACTGATCGCACCACAGAAACAGACCAGGACAACTATCCCTCACACCCATCGATTTAATAATAATAATTATTGTCCTTGCATTTGATACGGCGCCTTATCATGTCTTCGAGGCGTCTCAAAGCGCTTCACAGGATACACTGCGAAGTGTATGTTGTGAGAGGAATGACAATTGACGTCAAAACGTCTCAAAGGACTTCCCTCAGAATTGCTGTCGAGCGCAGTAACTGTGCAGCAAACGCAGCGCACAGCGATGTTCCACAGACGGTCATGAAGTGAACGACACATTTAACTGGCGGATTGATGGCCAGGACACCGTTTCTTTTTCCAGTTGTGCCGTGGGATCCTCAACACACACAGTAGGACCTGGCTTCAATGTCTCATCCGAAGAGTAGCGCAAGGAGACTCTCCCCCACCAATGCACTGAAGAGTGATCCTAGACTGAGCTTAAAGTCCCTGTGTGGGACTAATCGACTAACAACCGGGTTCCTACTTACTGCCAGGTAAACAGAGGCACGTGTGTGTGTTTGGAGTAAGGAAACTTGCCTAAAGTTTTGCCCTGACCCGTCTGGGAATTGATCCCGGGTCCTCTCGCTTCCGAGGCGAGCGCTCTAACCACTGAGCTACAGGATTCCACAGGACAAGTTGACACACAAGTGCGCATCAACAAAGAGCACAAGTGGGTACCCATACATCTCCAAGCACAAACTTCCAAAAACACCAGAGAAACCTCACCCCCACACCCCCCCCCACATCCTCTCCCGCCCCACATCCCCATCGTGATCCGTGACGTGCTTGCTTGATGGGAGAGGCTGACTGAGAATTGGAAAAGGAGCTGAAATGAGGAACTTGGTTGGGTCTACGGTCTGACCACGGGAAATGAGAGAGATCAGAGCAGGCTGGGGGCTGCAGGCCCTTCTATTCTCAAACAAGGGGAACTCCAGACCAACTATTTAGGAGGCTTGAGGGTCTTAGCGGGAGAGGGGGGTGTGCGGGAAGGGAAGGGAAGGGAGGGGAGAGAGTCTGTCTTGCTCATTTTACCATCTTACTCAGCTTCTATTTCCTCAACTCCTGATGTCCCCACCGACTGCCTTTTTCCTCTTCGACTGACTGTTTCACGACTGTTCCCATTGTCACCAGGCTCCGTGACCCCATCTCGCCCGACTCCACTGGCTCCCCATCCCCAGAGGATAGAGTTCAAAATCCTCGTCCTCGCCTTCAAGGCCTCGCTCCTCCCTACCTCTGTGACCCTCTAACTCCACGTCAACCTGTCCGCTTCACCCCCCCTCTGCCCCCACCCCATGGAACTCCAACCCACGCTCCCTCTCGTGCCTCCTTCAAGGCGCGTCTCAAAACCATCCTCTTCGACCGAGCCTTCGGTCACCCTCCTAACCCCACCTCCTCAACCCCCCAGATCCCAACACCCCCCCACCCACTTAGGTCCAAATCCCTGACTGTCCAACGCCTTGGGACATCCTCCTGACGTGAAAGGCGCTGTGTAAATACCATTTGGTATTGTATTGTATCTGCTCCAGGATTTTATGTTGCACAGACGCACAAGCCCCTGGCTCTCTCCCTCTCCCTCTCACCGTCGTCATTCAGCACGGCCTTGCACCCTATGCAGGTGTTGCGTTTCTTAGCGAAGGCCATCAGCCCCCCGATCTTAGCGGTCAGCACGGTCTTGCAGCGAGTGTGATCTCCCTCTGCAAACAGCAACACACACCGTCAGATTAATCGAGTAATATTAATCTGTAATAATAACCCTGGCATTTGATACAGCGCCTTATCAAGTCTTCGAGACGTCTCAAAGCGCTTCACAGGATACCATGCAAAGTGAGTCCACTGCATATTTTGTGGGCGAAACCCGGCAGCCAATTGCGCACAGCAACATCCTACTGATAAACAGAGGTCTGGAGTAAGGGAACTTGCCCAACGTTTCGCCCTTGGCCGGGAATCGAACCCGGGTCCTCTCGCTTGCGAGGCGAGTGCTCTAACCAACTATGGCTATGGGCCTCCTTGAGCATGATTCAGCTCGGAAGGTTGTGGGTACAGGCAGGGAGAGAGGAGGAGAAAGAAAACGGAGAAGGAAAAGCTCGCTCGCTTGCTCACTCACTCAGGAGCACGGACTCTGCCTTGGTATCCCCCAGGATGGGTTCAAAGATTCGGAGCAGGGGTTTGGCAAGTTGCTGCTCCAGGTAATACTGAGTGTCGATTGGGATGGTGTTCTCCAGCACATAGATTGGATCCTGTGGGTGAGAGAGAGGAACACAAACACACCAAACTCAGCAATGCAAAACCCTCTGTTTCATTAAAACAACAACATTGCATTTACGTAGCGCTCAAATTGCTGCCGTCATTCGTGAAGTGAATGCCCAGTTTCATTTGGGGGATTTTGGGAAGAAATTCCCTTCTCTTTGTGACACAATCTTTAATATCCTGCTGAACGGCCCTCAGTTCAACTCATCATCTGAAGGTCGGCACCTCTGACCATGCAATGCTCCCTCCTTCCCACATCTGTGACCTGCTAACTCCATATCGACCTGTCCGCTCCCTCAGCTCGGCGGGCTCTGACCTACTCCACGTCCCACACCTAGCCCACCCCCACCATCGGTGGTCAGGCCTTCATCCCCCCGCCTCGCTCCCTCCCTTGCGTCCTTCAAAGCCCGCCTCAAGACCCTCCTCTTCGACCTTCGGGCACCCTCCTACCCCCACGCTCCCTGCCCCCCACCCCCTCCTGATCCAAACCCCCGGCTCGGATCCAAATCCCTGACTGTCCAGCGCTTTGGGACGTCCTCCCGACTCGAAAGGCTCAGAATGTAAATGTCATGTGTTGTTGTTGTTTGGTGAGGCATCAGTACAGAGAAAACAGGGTCCTTTCAGCTGTTTGGCTGCATTATTAGGGCTTGGCGAGTTGGGTATCCCCCAACCCCCAGCGCATTACGTGGGACGACAACACCTGATGTGACGACGCATAACAAACCAACCACCAAACACTCTCTCTTTGTCTCTGTGTCTCTCTCTCTCTCGCGCTCTCTGTCTGAGCTGAGGAAGTTAGTGATCAATTAACAGCGCTCAAGAAGAAATAAGGAAATACTTTCACAAAACCGAAAAAAAAAGAGAACTGTGATCAAAGTTTGACTTCCCCAAGGCCTGGGGAATGTACCACACCGGGCAGCCACTGCAAAGCCTCTCGCAACCTTCCCTCAGCATTAACCTTTAAACAACTGGCGTCTTTCTAACAAGCAGGTAGTCAGAACCACAACCTGTATTTATATAGCCCCCCTCGTGCAGAGTAGCGCCCCAGAACGCTTGTGGGTTCCAGCCCCCATGTCGGGACTTTGAGCTCATGCAGTCTAGGCTGACCCTCCAATGCACTGCAGTCCTGGAGGGACCGTCTGTGTCTGTTCAGGTGGACGTTAAAGACACACCACACCATGACACAATTAACAAAAGAGAAGGGAGTTTCTCCTGGTGTCCTGGCCAACAAAACCTCCCAGATAAAAATTGGGTCTCATGGCTGTCTCTGGGACATTTGCATTTTATTTGCACTTGCCTAAAAAATGCAGTCACCACACTTTACGGTAAATCCGGTAAAGTGCTTTGAGATGTCATCCCGTGTATTTCTCCCCTGGTGTGCATTTGTACATGAGCACAGCGATCAATTTACCGCCATTAAGCTCCCAAAACAGCCTTGGGAAGTGGCAGAGCCATTCGAACTGCTGGCCAAGTCACTGAGGTGAACTTTATTAGTAGTGGCCTTTAACCAACAACCTTTGACCCAAACAACGCACGACTAAGCCAAGCTGACACTACTTACCTTGCGTGAGCGTGTGCGTGTGTGAGTGCGTAAATCTCTGTGAGTGAGTGTGTGTGTGCGCGCGTGTAAATGAGTGTGACAGTGTGTGAGCGCTCAAGAAGAAATAAGGAAATCCTCTCACAAACAAATATATAAGAGAACTGTGGTCGATATTCGAGTTCATTGGGTGAGGTGTGAGAGCGTGAGAGGGCGCGCGAGAAAACAATCGTTTGTCATGGAATCAGCCATTTGTCATACAAACATTTAAAAGGGGAATTGGCTAAATATTGCAAGAGGAAGACTAATATAAGTGATGAGGAAGGAACGGGAAATTGGATAGCTCCACAATCCTTGTACGATTCTTGTATTTAAGGTAAAGCTTTTCACATCGGGAGGAAATCTCAAAGAGAAGGATCGACTGCCGACTGTTTTTTTTTTTGCAGCTAAACCCAGCAGCCATTTTGCCCGCAGCAACATCCCATAAACAGCCACGAGGTGAGAGACCGAATCTACCTGGAGGAATGTGGGCCAGGACACCAGGAGAGAGAAACTCCTCTTTTCCAAATAATATAATAATAATAATCCTTGCATTTGATATAGCGCTCTTCACGTCGGGAGGACGTCCCAAAGCGCATCACAGAACACACTGTAAAGTGAATTGACTGTATATTTGTGGGCGAACGCGGCAGCCAATTGCGCACAGCAATGTCCCACAAACAGTCGTGGATTGAAAATGACCAATTTATTATTGTTTTGGCTTTTTTGGAGGGATTATTATTAGGCTCTGTGTGGAGTAAGGAAACTTGCCCGAGGTTTCGCCCTCTGCCGGGAATTGAACTCAGGTCTCTCACTTGCAAAGCGAGTGCTCTAACCACTGAGCTACAGGACTCCACATAGAATCTTGCAGCACAGAAGGAGCCCTCTTTGAAAGAGCTGCCCAATCGGCCCCACTCCCCCGTTCTCACCCCAGAGCCCTGCAGTTTTTCTTTTAAAGTACCTATCCAATTCCCTATCGAAAGCTACTATCAAATCCGCTTCCACTATCCGTTCAGGCAGTGGGTTCTGGACCGTAACAACTCTCTGGGTGAAAAGAAATCTCCTCGGCTCCTCTCCGTTTCTTTTGCCAGTGTCAAACGACAACGACAAGCACTTATATAGCGCCTTTCACACCGAATGGGCGTCTCGGAGCGCTGAGATCTCCCGAGGTGTTTAACGTCAGCCTCGATTGTGAGTGTCGAGTGAGCGCTTGAGCCTGCAACCTTCTGACTTTGAGGAGAGAGCTCCCAACGGAGCCAGGCTGACCCCAGCCCATTTGTAACAACAACACATGACATTTACACAACGCCCTTACGCGTCAGGAGGACATCTCAAGGCGCTGGACAGTCAGGGAATCCGCACCCGAGCTGGTGGTTGGGATCAGGAGGGGTGGAGGGCAGGGAGGGCAGGGGTAAGTGGTTGACCAAAGGCACGGTTGGTCGAAGAGGAGGGTATTGAGACTGGTTTTGAATGAGCAAGCGGGGGTGGGGGGAAGGCAGAGGGACTGTGGGAAGGAGTTCCAGAGGGTGGGGGCAGAGAGGGTTGAAGGGCCGACCGCTAATGGTGAAGCAGGCTGAGCGGAGGGAGCAGATAGGTTGGTAGGGGGTTTAGGAGGAAGCTGGCGCATTGGGCAACCTGTTCGTACCTCGGACTTCATGTACGCTGCCACACCTTTGGCCGCTTTGATGATGACGTAAGGCACACGGTCGCCGAGGTTGGGGGCACTGCCCGCATCTCGCTTCCGCATTCTGCAGAGGAATTAAAATTAAAACAGTCTTAGAATCGGAGCCAGGAGCGAAATCAGAAGCCATTTTGTTTTTTTCACGCAGAGTAGTGGAAACCTGGAACTCTCTCACTCCCCAAAAAAAGGCTGTGGATGATTGGGGTTGACGTGCAGATCAGCCATGATCTTACAGAACAGGCTCGAGGGGCTGAATGGCCTCCTCCTGTTCCTATAAAGGCTGAATGGCCTCCTCCTGTTCCTATAAAGGCGCACGGGAGTTCCAACAAGGCAACAGTCACTGACAGTTGCAGTCACACCAACTAAAAATTGCCGAGAAGGTTTTTCCAAGGCCAAACTAATCATTGCTATCACTTGACAACGACCACAATGTACAACACACCAGTCATTGAGCAATACCCGCCTGACAGCAAGCGTCACGGTAGGAATGAGCCTTTCCGCCTTTTGCTCACGTTGTAATAAATAATTATAATAATATTTCTTGCGCTTGATACAGCGCCTTATCAGGTCATCGAGACGCCTCCCAGCGCTTCACCGGATACATGTCGTAAAGTGAATTGACTGGGTATTTTGTGGGCGATACACGGCAGCCAATTGGGTACAGTGGTGGCCCACAAACAGTCGTGGATTGAGTGACAAAATGATTATTATTTATTGAAGGGAGTCTTACCCCAGAAAAGCGATCCGCCAATCGACTAACAACCGGGTTCCTTCCTACTTGCTGCTGGGTAAACAGAGGCGCGCGTGTGCGCGTGTGTGGGGTAAGGAAACTTGCCTAAAGTTTCGCCCTATTCGGGAATTGCACCCGGGTCCTCTCGCTTGCGAGGCGAGGGCTCTAACCACTGAGCTACAGGGACTCCACATTCTCTCCTCCCTATCTCTCAGTCTCTCTCTGCTTTCGTGGTGTGTGCCTTTCCCTTACTTCCCCCCCACCCCACCACCCACCCGCCTGCCCACCCACCTTCCCCTGCAAGGAACACATCTGCTTTGACCTCTCGATGGAAACTCGGAGTTACTGTTACTTTCTTTGCCGAATGCGCGGCCAATCAAAGCTGATTAGAGCGTGAACCCTGCACCAACTCGAGGCCTAAAAATAGCCCGGGTTGCGCGCTACAGCGGTTCCACCTACTCACAGACAAGCCACAACTGGGCCAAGGCAAGGTCCACAGTCCCTCGTGTGGGCCTGACGTGTGCTATAATAAGCCAAGGCGGTGTGAACACCTGCCCAGGGCTGTAGGCGAGGGCGGAGAAGGGGCCTGTGACGGATCACGATAAGCGGATCACCTGGTCAGTCGCAGAGCTTGAGTTCTTGGCCCGACCCGAACCACAGCCGTAACGATGGCTTTAGACGAGGAAAGCGCTCAGGAGTCTGGGGTCTTGTATTATATCGTGTCACACGGAGAGAGGCAGTTTTGAACCCAGCGTCAGTTAATAACAGCACTTGCATCTGATACAGCGTCTTATCACGTCGTTGAGGCGTCTCAACGACGGTGGGTTGGGCCGGGCGGGGGACATGGAGCAGGGCGGAGGAAGCGGCTGAGCGGAGGAAGCGGACAGATTGATATGAGTTACTATAAAGTACGGAGACTCTGTATTTGTAGGCGAAACGTGGCAGCCTATTTCCACGCAGCGACGTCGCGCAAACAGCCAAGAATCGAATGACCAATTATTTGATCAACTAGAGGGTGGGGGGGGGAAAGCACATCCACGGAAGGCTGTTCAGTCAGGATCAACTAACGTACAACTTGCGTTTACGGCGCAGGGCCACCTGATGGTGGAACGTGTTTGAAAGGGAGGTAGACAGACCTTTGGCAAGGTAGGGGTGTGTGGACCAAAGGCGATAAAATGGGATTAAAACATCTACCGCGATCCAATAAACTGATCTGAACAGACTCGAACGGCCTTCTCTTCCTCCTTGTCCCCGTAGTTTTCCACCCGCGATTCGGGGAAAGGGGTGGGGAGGGACGTGCCAATGAAATATTAAAACTTAAAAAAAAAAAGACGAACACAAGTTGTTTTTTTCTGCGCGTGCGTCTGTGTCTGTGTGTGTGTGTGAGAGAGTGTGAGAGTGTGTGTGTGTGTGTGTGCAACAACGGCTTGTGGAGCTGCAGCTGTTGTGACCCAGCCTCCGAGAGCTATTTCTGCATTTCCTGCCCCTGAACTATCTCAACGATTTTGCCACTTCTTTCTGGAGCAAGACAACAATAAAAATGTCGTGCCGTCTTTAAGCTACAGCGAGATCCTCCGCGCGCGCACACACACACAGACACACACACGCACAGACAGACGCACGCCGTCCGCCATCAAAACCCGCTTCGTTCTTCTTTTCTTTTCCACCCCAAGTTAGATAAAAAAAACTTTTTTTTTGTGGTTCTGACACGCACGGAAATCCGTCACCATTGCTTAAGAGTCTCCAAGCCAAGCTGAGAATTCCGTGCCTCCCACTCACGCTTGGAAATCGCAGAGATGGATCGTTGGAATGGACTGCGCTCTCTCTCTCTCTCTCCCTCCCCCTGGAGGGACGCCCCCCCCGCTTACCTAATCCCGCAAAGTATTGGCACAGGTTGGCGAGAGCCAAGGCTTGGGGGGGGGTGGGGGAAGCCCAGAGTATGCGTTGTGGGGGGTAACTGCTGGCGTCTGACCAGCTAAAACTGCATAGTTTGCCATTGATAGCGCTGTCTGGCCAAGATTTCCCGCTGCTTGTCCAAGCAGTTTTGCAAGGCTATATCTGACCACAGGCGTGAACATTAGAACGTAAGAATTTGCGAGACAAAATAAGACCGAGGCCCATCCAGTTAGCCTTCCACCATCCTGGCAGTCGCTTGCACACATCGTGTCCCAAACTATATACTGTATCCCCAGATATTAATTCCTAATGGAAACGCTAGTGGTAGACAAGGATTCTTCCCATTCAGCTCCTGCTAACCCTGGCAGCCAAAGTCTTAACGGGTCGGGTGGAAGCTTGTAAGACAGTTCTCTCAATGGCAAGCCCTAGGGTTTTTGGATCATACAACAACAACAACAACAAATTACGTTTGTATAGCGCCTTTCACGTCAGGAGGACCTGAGCTTGGGATCAGGAGGGGATGGAGGGTGAGGAGGGTGACTGAAGGTGCGGTCGAAGAGGAGGATGTTGAGATGGGTTTTGAAGGAGGGAAGGGGGAGGGGAGGGGGGGGGGGCGAGGCGGAGGGACTGTGGGATGGAGTACCAGAGCAATTACCCCAGCAATGACTCTTGTTAAACTTTCTGGAATTACATAAGCAGTGTTGCTTCCCTCTCAGCAGACATTGCACATTCTATTCCAGACATGGGGAAATTTTCATGTGTAGAGGGCAGCTTACGTATCTGGAACTGTCTGGTTTGACAGTTGCTTACGCTTAAGCAAGGTGATGGGTTTTCTTCGCAACTTAGATACTCAGCTGACCAGAAATAAAACCACCACCAGCACAACAACAACTTGCACGTATATATAGCCCCCACCCCCCCCCCCCGCCCACGCAGGCAGCGTCTCAGAGGGTTAACAATGGTGGAGCCTGACTTCGAGCCGTGTGGGGGGGGAAGGTGACCGTAAGCACGGTCGAATAGGAAGGCCTTCAGGCGTGACTTGAAACAGTTGAGAGAGGGGCCAAGGCGGAGGGATTGAGGGAGAAAGTTCCAGAGTTTCAGGGCAATCAGCTGGTGCCCCCAACTTTCAACTGAGGAACTCTAATCTTAATAATAATCCTTGCATTTGATATAGTGTCTTATCACGTCTCCAAAACGTCTCAAAGTGCTTCACAGAATGTACTGCAAAGTGAATTGACTGCATATTATATTTTGTGGACGAAACGCAGCAACCAATTGCGCGCAGCAGCGTCCCCACAAACAGTCGTGGACTGAGTGACCAAATGATTATTATTTCTTTTTATCAGGGATAATCACCAACCGGAAAAGCGATCTGCCAACTGACTAACTACCAGGTTCTTACTTGCTGTTAGGTAAACAGAGGCACGTGGAGTAAGGAAACTTGCCTAAGGTTTCGCCCTGCCCGGAATTTAAACCCAGGTCCTCTCGCTTGCGAGGTGAGGGCTCTAACCACTGACCTATGTTCTGTGCTGCAAGAGTTTCTCAACAGAGGAATTCCCAGTCTCATTGTCTACTCGTGATCAACTCAAAGCCTTTGGAAGCTGGACTTTCCAAAGGGCTGTAGGGGCTTCCGCTGCAGGAAGCCTAACGCGGAATGGGGACAATACATAACATCAGAACATAAGAAATGCTAGACGAATAAAAGACCAAGGTCCACCGAGTTCGCCTCCCATCTTCCTGGCGGTCACATACATACACACACACACACACACACGTCCCGAACTATCTGCCTATGTAGTACATCCCATCATGCTATTTCCCAAGCGAAAACTTATGGAGTCTGCGTTTGAAGGACTCGACACGTCCTGCTTCAACCGTCTCCCTAGAGAGTCTGTTCCACAGGTTTACAATTCGCTCACCGAAATAGAAATAATTTGTTCTGAATTTACCCCCCCAGTCGCAAGGCTGTGTCCTCTGTTTCTACTATTCTGGATCAGTTGAAATAAGCCACCACCACAACAACTTGCACTTATATAGCACCCTCCCCCCATGCAAGATAGCGTCTCAGAGTGCTTAACAATGGTGGAGCCTAACTCTGACCCTTGGGGAGGGGGGGGAGAAGGTGACTGTAAGCACGGTTGAATAGGAGAGTCTTAAGGCGTGTCTTGAAAAAGGGGAGAGAAGGGGCAAGGCGGAGAGATTGAGGGAGAGAGTTCCAGAGTTTCGGGGCAATACCTCTCAGCGAGCTCCACGTGGGCCTGTTTTCCTGCGTAATCCTCCGCAGCTCTAGTCAGCTCTTTGGTGATCACCAGCTGTGAAATGTCAATCCGGTTGCACAGCAAGTCTGAGATGACATCTTTGGCGTGTTCCACTGCTCCAGCCGGGTCCCTGAGAGAAGCAAGCCAGAGGAGGGAGAGGAGAGAGAGAGAGAGAGAGGGGAGAGAGAGGGGGAGAGGGGGGGAGAGAGGGGGAGAGAGAGGGGGAGAGCCACAGAGGGAGAGAGATGGGGAAGAGGGACACCGCGGGAGGATAGAAAGAAAGGGGGGAAAGGAGAGGGGGGAAGAGAGAAGAGAGCGGGAGACAGAGAGAGAGAAACAGAGGAGGAGAGAGAGAGAAAGAGGGGGAAGAGAGGGGGGAGAGCGAGGGGGAGGGAGAGAGACGGAAAGAGAGAGAGAGAACACAAGTGTCAGTGCAACGAGACCGCCACAACAAATTACATTTGCACAGCGCCTTTCATGTCGGGAGGACATCCCAAGGCGCTGGACAGTCAGACACTGCATGATTGAGCAGGTTCTCCATCCTGAAGGCTTAAGCTCAGGAAAATGTGGCAATGTCCAACCAACCAACCCTCCTCGTTAGAGAGCTCTCTCTGGTACAAATGGTTCTGATGTGCAGACAGCGTGACAACAGTGGGACAAACAGCTTGCCTCCTGTGATCCTTTAAGCCAGGGTTGTCCGACTGGCTGACCGAGGGCCAGTTTCATCCGCATCCTCTCCCCCCCACCCACCCCCACCAGCTCCCTCCATTTCATCTGGCCCACCTACTCCTCCATAACCCGTAAATTTCTCAGGGACGCTACTCTGCGGAAGGAAACACAAAAATATTGCTTATGTGACCTGGGAACGTTTCTCGAATTGGGCATCCAGCCCTCAGCGGCACCAACAACAAACACAGTACCCTTCACGGCAAAGGACGTCCCAAGGCCCTGGACAGTTAGGGATCTGCACCCAAGCTGGGGGTTGGGATCAGGAGGGGTTGGAGGGCAAAGTGGGTAGGGGTAGGAGGGTGACCGAAGGTGCGGTCAAAGAGGAGGGTCTTGAGGCGGGTCTCGAAGAAAATAGGTTTTACGGCCAAAAGTTTGGACACCCCCAAACCCCCCCCCCACCCCAACTCCCCCATCCAATATAAGGTCTGTGTTTGACACACCAGCCAGGACCCTGGCATTACTTTTCCCAGCCTGTAGTCCACACAAAGCACATGGCGCCCAAGCTCACCTGTCGATCAACAGCTGCTGGAGGCAGGTGTTGATCAGGTTGGCCACCAGGGGGCAGTTGTCCCTGCGCACGGTCTCGATGCCCTTGCAGTCCATTTTGTCGTGAGTGTCTGGGTTGGAGGAGAAGTACAGCCCGGCGTATCGCTTCTTGTTGATCAGCAGGTAGGGGAAATACACCTGGAGAGGACGGGTTTCCAGAAGAGTTATCATCTCCCACAAAACACACAGTCACTCCACTTTACAGTGTATCCTGGGAAGCGCTTTGAGACGTCTCGAAGACGTGATGAGGCGCTGTGTCAAACGCCAGGATTGTATAAGGGGAACGATGTCTGTGCAGTTAAGTGTCATTAGTTAAACATGATTAAATCCACATGCTGCTCCCTCCCCCTCTCTCCCCCAAGTGTTGGGAAATCCTAATAATCCTGGCATTTGATCCAGCCTCTTATCACGTCGTTGAGATGTCTCAGAAGCGTTTCGCAGAATATATCGACTTTGCGGGCGATAATAATCCCTAATAAAAAATAATATCACGGTCACTTAATCCACGACCAGTTTGAGGGACGTCGCTGTGTGCAATTGGCTGCCGCGTTTCGCCCACAAAACATAAGTCAATTCACTTTACGGTGTGTCCTGTGAAGCGCTTTAAGACGTCTCGAAGACGTAATAAGGCGCTGTATCAGATGCCAGGATTATTATTATCTATAGGGCCCTTCTGTCAGGGTGACCAGAACAGAGTCCAAGATGGACCTGACGAGGTATAGCTTTGACTCTGAGCTCTGTGAGATCTTAGCAACACAAGACAGCATCCTGTTTGCCTTGTTTATTGCAGCCTCACGCTGTTTTGACATGCAAGCGATGAGTCAACTAACAGCCCTCAATCTCTTTCAGCTTCCCCCTTCGCAATTTCTATCCATTCCATGGGGGACATGTGTTTCCTTTGCTTGCTTCCTATGTGCACTACTTGCATTTATCTGCATTGAACTTTGTTTGCGAGTTATCAGCCCATACGGCAAATCCTATTAAGTTCTGTATGCGATTACCGTTTAAAAGAGACGAGGTGAACTGAAAATGCTTTGTTATAGCGAAGAACGTTTAAATTCGAAGTGTTAAGATACTTTAAGAGGTTAAAATATAACAGGGATAAAGCACCAGTACAGACACAGAGAGAGAATAGGGGAATGGGGTTATAGTAGACCGATAGGAACAGTAATTTCTAAGGTTCTCACCTTCTCAAACTCCAGTTTGATGGGAGCTGTGAAATGGCTGGAGACCCATTCAGCCACCTCACGTCCCAGAGACATGCTCTCCGCCACTGTCTGCGTCCCCAGTTTACACATCACCGAGTCTGTGTCGCCGTAAATAACCTGGAACCAAGCGGGATGAAAGGACTCATCGTGTCACAGTGGCTCAAAGCGCTTCACGGTTATTTACAGGCCGAGTGAAGGCAACTCGCTGCTGGTCGGCCTTCCCAGCTCTTCCCTCCACAAGCTACAGATCATCGAGAACTCTGCAGCTCGTGTCCTCTCCAGCACCAGGCTCCGTGATCCTATTGTCCCCAACCTCGCCCGGCTCCACCGGCTCCCCATCCCTCAGAGGATCGAGTTCAAAATCCTCGCCCTCGCCTTCAAGACCCTCCGCGTTCTTGCTCCTCCTGCCCATCTCTGTGACCTGCTACCTCCATACTGTCTGCTCCACATCCCCCACCCGGCCCGCCCCACCATCGGCAGTCGGGCCTTCAGCCTCTCTGCCCCCAGCCTTCGGAACTCCATCCCACAAGTCCTTCCACCTCACCACCACCTCCCCACAACCCCCTCCCTTGCCACCACCCCCCACCCCCTTCAAAGCCCGTATCAAGACCCTCCTCTTGAGGTCCCACGAGTAACCTGGCCGAGGACTGAGCACCGTGTGCTATACCTTGGCGTCTGCTTTGTAGCCGTTACTGATGGTGTACCGAGACTCCACCAGTTGTTTGGTTTTCTCGATCATTTGCCGACCAAACCCGGTCACGCTCTGTAGAGAAGACAAAACCGGTTCGTTTCTTAGTCTTTTTGTTTAAAAAAAACGGACAAATTACTATAATATAATAATAATCCTCGCGTTTGACACAGCGCCTTATCACGTCTTCGAGACGTCTCAAAGCGCTTCACAGGATATACAGCAAAGCGTAGTGACTGTGTATTTTTATTTGGGAGGATTGTTGGCCAGGATACCGAGAGAGAGAGAAAAACTCCCTTCTCTTCGTGTAGCGCTGCGTGTGATCTTTAACATCCACCTGAACAGCGCACAGACTGGACCTCGGTTTGACGTCTCATCTGAAGGACGGCAGTACCTATTCAGTCACTACGCCCCCTAATCTCTGGAGCTCCCTACCTCCCCTTCCTCATTGCCTAACCCCACCTCTGTGCAGTGCTTCGAAACCCTACCCAACATGAATTGCGTCACACAGGTGTAGGTAGTTATGTGTGCGAGCAATACTGCTGATCCCCCATCATACCAGTCCTCGCCAGGCTCCACTGGCTCCCTATCACACCCCGTAAACTCCTGCCTCCATTAAACCAGTCCTCGCCAGGCTCCACTGGCTCCCAATTACTGAACAGATCAACTTCAAGATCCTCTCATTCGGTTTCAAATCCCTTCATGCCCTGGCACCTCCCTACAGTCCGATTTGCTTACCGGCCCTACTCCACCACCCACTGCCTCCGCTCGGCTGGCTCGGGCTTCCTGCTTGTCCCTTACGTCCCAAGACTTACACTACGCCCCAAAGCTCTGGATCGCTCTCCCTCAATCCCTCCGCCTTGCCCCCTTCCTCCCTTCCTCCCACCTTTCAAATCCTTCCCTCCTTTCAAATCCCACCTTTTTGCTCAGGTCATCTCCCCGCTCCCTCCCTCCCTCTCCGCCTGGCTCGGGGTCAGACTCCGCCACTGTCAAGCTCTCCGGGACGCTACCCCACGCGAAGGGTGCTGTATAAGTGCAAGTTGTTCTTGTTGCTGCGGCTGACCTCGTATGGAATTGAGGAGCTCAGGAAACCTGGCAAAGCCCAGCGTAAGCCCACGCAGCATAAAGACATTTCTGTGAAAGCTGTATTTGCTGCTTTGGGTTTTTTGACCAGTTTTGCTTTTAGCAAGCTCCCTTTTTTCTTCGAACATGACTCAATATGAACTTCTTCAAATGCCAGTCACATGGTTGGGCAAAGGGTAAAAAAATGTCATTACGCTCTCCCTCTCCCCCACCCCCTTCCGAAACAAATGACTGAATGCTCGCCCCACTGTTAACACCCACTTGTCTACACTGTGACTGACACTGTCGAAGCACCTTTCGTGGAAGGAAGGCGAACGAACCGAGCTAAGACGGTACTAGAAAGGGGAGGCGAAAAAAATAGCACATCAAAAAGGAAGGTTTTTTGAAGACAGACAGGAAGGGTGTAAGGCACTTCTGACCGCACAGCCAGTCTGGCTCATCGGCAGGACTTAGAGGGGTAGACTAGTCACCGGGGGCAGAGACCCTTCCCACGCAGCCCGTTAAAATAATAGTTATAATCCTTGTAGTTGATATTGCACTGAATGACATCATTGAGACGTCTCAAAGGGCTTCACAGGATACACTGCAAAGTGAATTGACTGTACACTTTGTGGGTGAAAGCGGCAGCCAATTTCGCACAGCAGCGTCCCCACAAACAGTTGTGGATTGAGTGACCAAATTATTTATCTTTTTTTGAATGAACCTAGGAACAGGAGGAGGCTATTCAGCGCCACTCTATAAGATCATAATTGATCTGTAACTCAACATTAATTACCCGCTTTTGCCTCATAAGGGATTATTACTCCCAGAAAGCGATGCGCCCATTTACTACTCAGTAAACAGAGGGTGTGTGTGTATGTCGGGAGTAAGGAAACTTGGCTAAGGTTTCGTCTTGTCCTGGCCGGGAATCAAACCTGGGACCTCTTGCTTGCGAGGCGAGCGCTCTAACCACTGAGCTACAGGATTCCTGCCAAAGCTTTATGAGTTAGGATAGTCCGAGCTGGACAAGTAAGGGGAAAGCTTGTCAGACGGCACTCTCTGGTTAAGACTCCAGCAAGTAGCCCAACGCACATTCTTGGCTCTCCCAAGACTTATCTCTTGCCAACCAGTTCCTGATCATCCATGGAGATAAATTGAAGCTTACAAGGGAGAGAGAGATGGATACTTGCAAAGTAAGCTTATAAAAGGCAATGAAGAAAAGAACATCCACACGACTAGGCAGACAGGAACTTGATTAAACATCTCATCCAAAGGAGGCACTCCGAGTACTGCAAATGGAGCGTCAGCTTAAGACTGTGAGTTCAAAGTCCCGAAGTGGGGCTTGAACCCACAATACTTTGACTCAGGGACGAGAGCTACCACTGAGCCAGGCGATCCACCAACTGACTAACAACCGGGTTCCTACTTACTACTGGGCAAACAGTGTGTGGGAGTTTTCGCCCTGTCTGGGAATCAAACCCGGCTTCTCTCGCTTGCAAGGCGAATGCGTTAGCCACTACGCTAGAGGACTCCACGTATACCGAGCCAACAGAGACTCGATGGGCTGAATGACCTCCATTCCACTCTGTGCTGTATTCAAAACTCAGCAGAAAGCCTCTATCGATTTGTGCAGACAAACGAGGAGAGAGAGTGTGTGTGAGAGAGAGAGAGAGGCTAGATGCATTTTTCTATTTAAAAACCATGGCTGCAGCTGAACGGACAGATGTTACCGGCGACTGAGCCCCACCCTGGCAAGGCTGAGCCCTGCTGCTTTTGGCATCCCGACCGCAACCGCGCAAGCGTGGGGCATTGGGAAAGAACGCTTGCTGCTTTCAAACAGGTTACGAGAGAAGAGGATAGGAAAAAAAAAGAGTTACACAACTCCGGAGAGCGGAGATCGTGGGTTGTGTTGTAAAAGGGCCTGGCTAGCAGGCGGAGGGGGTGGGGGGGTGAATGGTGGGGGGGGGGGGGGGCAGGGAGCTGGTTGGTGTGCGTGTGTGTGCCCTGCAGTGACTGTATTGTGGCTGCTGTGTAGTTGCTATGTTCCGAGCCACAGTGACCAGGAAACACACGGAGAGCACCTTTTCCTGTGGTAGAACCTCGCCTTCCTGCTCAGCACTGTCCTGTCCTCTTCCTGCCCTTGAGTCCGTTACACGGCGGAGATAAAAAGTCCTCAACCGTCGGGTAACATCTCCTCCTCCCCCCGCCCCCCCACCAAGCTCCCTTCTCAAAGGAGCTCACCAGCTTGGGTCCTGGTTCTACGCAGCCCTCGAGAGTCTATTCTATCGGCCCATCCTAATGACAACAGCATGCATTCATTCTATCAGCTTATCCTAACAATTACCCACTCACGCAAGGTAGCGGTCCATAGCGCTCCCAATTCTCCGTGTGGTGAAACGTTCCCTTCCCAGGAGTCCTGTAGCTCAGTGGTTAGAGCGCTCGCCTCACAAGCGAGAGGACCTGGGTTTGATTCCCAGGCGGGTCAGGGCAAAACCTTAAGACAAGTTTCCTTACCCCCCACACACACACAACACACAAATCACACACACACAAACACAACAAAATACAGTCACTCCACTTTACAGTATATCCTGTGAAGCGCTTTGAGACGTCTCGAAGACGTGATAAGGCGCTGGGTCAAATGCGAAGATTATTAATATTATTTCCCAACTCTCTCAACGTCCTCCCTTCCCAAGTATCCACCCGTTTGCCTACAAACACTACCTACTTTCCTGTGAAGAGAACACAAAAACAAAGATTCTAATCTCCCCCCCACCCCCCACTCTTTTGAGATTCCCAGTTGAGTGTGAGAGTGAGAGTGGACTGCCATCTGAGGTGGTGGTTTTTAATCTCTAAACTCTCTCTGTGTGGAGAAGTAATCTTCTCTTCTATTTCCTGTCTTCTCTCTCAAGATGCTCCTCTTAACATCAGAGATTGCTTCTGTGCAGAGTGCAATCTTAATTATGTCAGGCTGAAATCCTTTGGGACCGACTGAATATAATAATAATAATCCTTGCGTTTCAAAGCACTTCAAAGTATATTCTGTAAAGTGAATTGACTGTATATTTTTTGGGCAAATTTAATAATTCCTTCGAAAAAGAACAATAATAAAGTAACTCGGTCACTCAATCCATGACTGTTTTGGGACATTGCTGTGTGCAATTGGCTGCCACATTTATCCGCAAATACAGTCTCGTCCATAAAATACACAGTCGATTCACTTTCCAGTGTATTCTGAGCCACCTCGAAGACGTGATAAGACACCAAATCAAATGCAAGGATTATTATTATTATTATACACAAGCTATCGCGTATAACCCCACTCTCCTGCTCACTCGCTCGTCCAACACACTTTTAAAGAGGGAATAAATATAACAACAATAAGATTACATTTGAATAGCGCCTTTCATGTCGGGAGGACGTCCTAATAAGATGCTTCAAGAGGAGAAATGTTGGGGAAAGCATCTTAACCTCCAGGGAAACCGTGTGGACTGCATACCAGATAGAGTACCCGCAGTCTCGTACAATTGGTTTCCTCGGAGGCTGACCAGAGAGAGAGAGAGAGAAAAAAAAGGACTTAAGGACTCTGCTTCAACAATGATTTGCGACAGAGAATTCCAGGCACGCACCTTCTGTGCAAAGAAACATTTTCTAATCTGCCCCCTTTATTTCAGCCATGTATTTGTGAAATCGTGTCACTTGTAAGCTAACTAGTGTGAATATTAATAGCCTTTACATTTGATACAGCGCCTTATCATGTCTTCGAGACGTTTCAAAGCGCTTCACGGGATACACTATCGAAGGATTCACAGGATCTACGCTAAGAAGTGCCTATCTTCGGATGAGGTGTTAAACCAAGGCCCCGTTTATCTGTCTAGGTGGACCTTAAAGATCCCATGGCATGACTTGAAAAGAGAAGGTACTTTCTCTCTCATCGTGTCCTGGCCAAAAAATGCCCCAGAGATAAAAATTGGCCGCTCACTTCATGGCTTTTTGCGGGACGTTGCTGTGCACGTTTTGCCTTCAAATACAGTCTCGCCCACAAAAATATACAGTCAATCCACTTGACAGTGTATTCAGTGAAGCAGTGGTCAGGCGCTATACCAAATGGAAGGATTATTGCATACATAACCAACCCCTGCCCTTCCTCCTCGCTCTCTACATAGGAACAGGAGGAGCCCATTCAGCCCCTCGAACCTGTTCCGCCATTCGATAAGATCATGGCTGATCTGTACCTCATCCGCCTTTGCCCCGTATCCCTTTGATCCCCTGACCTAACAAACCTCAGCCTTGAAAATTTGAATGGATCCAGCCATAATCCACAGCCTTTTGGGGGGAGAGCATTCCAGATTTCCATTAGCCTTTGGGGGAAAAGCTGATCTCTTCCCTCCCCAAATCCATCCGTCACCCAGCAAGTCTCCAATATTGGTAAACCTTCTCCCCCACCCTAAAAAGTTGATCCATTTACCACAAAACCTGCCTCCCTCCCCCCCCCACCCTCTCCCAGTGCAGCAAAATAGTGCTCCAATGTAGTCAGTTGTCAACAGGAACTACGGGTGTTAAACCACATGTAATTCTCAATCTCATCCAGCTTTGAAAACACTCACATTGAGCATAGCCTCCAGCATTCTCTCTCTCTCATTCCTCCCCCTGCACCCCCATCCATTCCTCTGTCATTCCGACACAGCAGGTCGGACTGCATTTATCGGGAGGGGAAAATTCAACTCATTTTCTCTCTCCATAGATGCTGCCTGACCTGCTGCGCGTTGCCAGTCACTTCTGTTTTTAATCAGATTTCCGGAATCTGCAGGATTTTGCCTTTCACTTCACAGTATATTCTGTGAATCTTATTATTATCACATATCCCTGGAAACCCAGCTTCACTCATAGGAACCCCTGCAACCCAATAACCACAGTAGAGAGTTGGGTGGACGGGGAGGTGGTGGGGGGGGGGTGGGGGGGGAGAGAGGGAGAGAGAGAAAAGGAGAAATTACAGAAGTAAATTTAAAAAAAAGCTGTTTATCCTTGTGTCAACTTGGCTCAGTCTATCACACTCTTGTCTCTGTGTCAGGAGGTTGTGTAGATCTAAGGTTCATAGACTGAAAGATTTCTTGCACAATGCTTATGCCCTATACATCGAGAGAATTCTATGAATGTACAACACGAGTGTTCCCTTTTTCTTTTCCACTCGTCTCAGTGACAGTTCCCGAACCTTCTTTCTCTCTCTCGCGCTCTCATACCCTCCTTCCGACCACCTAGAAGGTGCAACGGTGGCCGAGGAAGGTAAAAAAGTAGATAGGTTGAGAAACTTAATACCAATAATATACTATATAATGGAGTGACTGTGTATTTCGTAGGCAAAACACCGCAGCCAATTTCACACAGCAATTGTCCCACAAACAGCCGTGGATTGAGTGACCAAATTTTTAGCACGTTCTGTGAAGCACTTTGAGAAGCCTTGAAGACAATGATAAGATACTATATCAAATGCAAGGATTATTATTACCAGAGGATACGGCCTGCGATCGAAGGGAAGGGAAATTCAGGACAAATCTGTGGAAACACGACTTCAGTGAGCGAGCAGTAAACTTATGGAAGAGAGACAGACAGACGGTGGAAGCAGAAAATGTGATTTGTTGCAAGAACAAATTAGATAAGATTTCTGCTAGAAAATATCTGGGGATTCAGAAAAACATTTGGCACACGACATGTCAAGTAACTGGAGGATGGTGGAAGGCGAACTAGGTGGACCTTGGTCTTCTTTCGCCGAGCAAATGCTTATGTTCTATGTATCATTCGCGGCAGCCGATTGCGCACAGCAGTGTCCCACATACAGTCGTGGATTAAGTGACCCAATTATTAGTGTATACTGTGAAGCGCTTTAAGACATCTCAAAGACATAATAAGATGTTATATCAAATGCAAGGATTATTATTATTATTATTAATAACATCTCCCCCCCCACCCCATCGCAAAGAACAAGCTATGTTTCCCACCAGCCCGGCATTCTGCTCGGACTTAAGAGTCGTGCGTTTAAGAGGTTAAAAATAATCCGTTTACCAAATGTAGGCCTTGCACAACCGTTGATGTTTCGCAACATCATGAGGGGTATCAATAAAGCTCACGTTTCCCTTTTTCGAAACTTTTTTTTTTTTTAAAACTCATTTTCAATCAAGAGAAATTCCTGGAAGAAATTTCTTGGGGGTTTATTTTGGTTCTCGTAGATCGAAGTATTAATTCGTTCTCCGCCTGGCAGGGGAAGAGATAGAGACGGAGACGGAGAGAAGGAATAATATTTCTTTCTCTCCCACTGCCCCTTGCCCCATGAAGTCTCTCCCCTGCAAGTTGGTAGCAGCTCCTCCCAAATACAGAGAAGGGCAACAAGGCTGATCCCCAGTGTGAGAGCTGCTCCAGGTTTAAAGGGCACCTTAACAGAAGGATAAACGCTGTTAAATGGCTTAAAGACACCCAAGGTAACAGCACGTGTGCTCAAACAAGTGAAGAGCAATTTCAAGATACCAGACATACTTATAACTGTCAACGTAGTTGAAGTAGCGCCTCATCAAAACATTTCAAGGCGCTTATTGGAAAGTGTAGTGACTATGTTTGTAGGCATACGCAGCATACAACTTCTAATAATCATAATCCCTGCATTTGATTTGATACAGAGCCTTATCAAGTCTTCGAGACGTCTCAAAGCGCTTCACAGGATATACTGTAGAGTGAATTGCCTGTGTATTTCGTGGGCGAAACGCAGCAGCCAATTGTGCACAGCAGCGTCCCCACAAACATCGTGGACTGAGCGGCCACATTTTTATTAATTGTTTTGGACACCGGGGGGGGGAGAGGGAGAGAGAGAGAGAGAGAGACACTCCTTTCTCTTTTTTAAAGTGACAATGGAACTTTATTGTCCGCCTGACCATACACCGATAGGACTTTGGTTTGATGTCTCAAGTGAAGGCCGGCACCTCTGACAATGCAGCGCTCCATCAACACTGCACTGGGAGCGTCAGTCTAGACTGTGAGCTCGAAGTCCTGACATGAGCGTTAAACCCACAACCTTCTGACTCAGAGGAGAGTTTGCTGACAGACCAATCCAGGCTGACAAGACAGTACATCTTTGCACAGAGACCAATAGACAGACAGCTGGAGTGGGTAAAGAGGAAGGAGGAGGTTGAGTCCAGGATTCAATGTTATGATGGGATGATGGTATGAAGGGGTATCGGCCCCAATCGAGGGAAGCCTAGAAGTTGGATTCACTTAAGAATGTCTTAAGCACTCTGAGATGAGGGCTGCTATCTAAATGCAAGTTATTGTTGTCTGAACACTTCACAGTGACCAGAACAGAAAGAGCGTGGGATGACTACAGAGGAAGTGGGGAAAATGACTGATGGTAGAGTGTGGAAACCCGAATTAACCATGAAGGGTGGGGGGTGTGGGGGTGGGGAGTGAGAGTTAAATAAACAAATGGGGAAGGAGAATTTAAGGCGTAAAGGGATTGGTTGGTGAGAGTGACTTGGAAGTCGATCTGTTGGGAGATAGGGAACCTGGCAAGGATTTGGGTGATGGGCATATGGAGTTTGGTGTGGAGTTACTGGAACCTACCTGTGAGATTTCCAAACAGGGCAACTTGCCAACCTGCGCCCCAGTAAATCCGTAGACGGAATTGGCGCTCACTTTCAGCGCCAACTGACGCCCGTCGAGGACCTTTTTCTTGAACGGGTCCGTCTCGTTCTTTAGCTCCGTCTTCGCCCTCGGAGGGAAAGAAAAATCAGAAAGAAATAAGCATTTACAACAACACATTACATTGGCTCTTGCCAACCTGCGCCTCCTGTTCTCTGGAATTAGATACACAGGGTGCGTCTCTCCACGGAGGGAGGGAGCATTCTCGTCCAGACAGACACAGGGGAATTTCCATGTGTGCAGGTGACATATAGGGAACTCTCAAGTCTGGTTTGGAGACTCTTAAGCACGGAAATGGGTTTCAGTGTGGCAGAAAACCAAATGACCAGAATAAATGCTGCTACAACGACGACGTGCGTTATACAGCGCCTTTCAGGGTGGCGGAGCTCGACGGCAAAAATACAAGCGTACAACAATAATAATCCTTGCATTTGATACAGCGCCTTATCACGGCTTAGAGACGTCTCAAAGCGCTTCACGTAAAATACCGCAATGTGAATGGACTGTGTGTTGTGGGGGAAACACGGCAGCCACTTACGCACATTATCGTCCCGCAAACAGTCGTGGATTGAGTGACCACATTTTTCTTAAAAAAAATTATTGCCCCCAGGAAGCGATTTTGTCCCTATCTGCCCGGGGACCTATCTAACAGGCCAAGTCTCTGATACCCACTTTTTCCTGGCAAAAAGAAGGTTTTCCAGGATTTCAGGCAGAAGCCCCTTCCGGACCGAAGCTTTGACAAACAGGTCACCCGTTGGAGTTTTAATGAACTCGTCTGGTGAAAGGCTGGGGGAGCAGGAGACAGAGTAACACAGAACAAGACGAGTCAAATATTTACTCTTTAACATCATATAAATAATAATATAATCCTTGCGTTTGGTATAGCGCTTTTCACGTCTTCTAGGCATCACAAAGCGCTTCACAGAATATACTGTAAAGTGAATTGACTGTATATTAGTGGGTGAAACGCGGCAGCCAATTGCGCACAGCAGCGTCCCACAAACAGTCGTGGATTGAAATGACCAAGTTATTTTTTTTTGAAGGAATTATTATTACCCCCGAAAAAGTGATCCGCCAATTGACTAACAACCGGGTTCCTACCCACTGCCGGTAAACAGAGGCGTGTGAATAAGGAAACTTTTCGCACTGCTGGAAATCGAACCCAGGTCCTCTCACTTCCGAGGCGAGTGCTCTAACCACTGAGCTACAGGCCTCCACATGGTACAAGGAAAGAGTTGAGCATCAACAGGAGAGGAGCCGGACGGACGAGATGAGGACTCACTTGTACTTTTCTACGCTGGCTGCCTGCAGCAAGGTGGTGTAGCAGAGGTTGTGAGCCATCATGATGGAGGGGTACAGGGAGGAGAAATCCAGTGTCGCGATTGGAACATCGTAATAGCTGCAAGAGTCAGGAGAGAGAGTTAGAAGGAAAGAGAGAGAGAGAGAAAAAAACCACACACGATGCATTTTTAAACTATTCCCAATTTCAATAACAACAACAAGTTACATTTCCACGGTGCCTTTCACGTCAGGACAACAATCGACCAAAGCCTTACCCTTTGACCGGTTCAATGACTGTGGCTCCTGTGTAGTCCTCTCCTCCCTCTGATTTCACCACCGGCATCACCAGGTCATACTTCATTGCCTGGAAACAGAAGAGAGAGAGAGAGAGAGAGAGAGAGAGAGAACATGATACCATGTTAAGGCCGTGAGCCAAATGCAGGCTCTTGTCCTGGAGCCCTGTCGCTCAGTGGTTAGCGCTTTCGCCTCGCAGGACAATTCCCGGGTAGGACGAAACCTTAGGCAAGTTTCCTTACTTCACACACACGCACACCTCTATTTTCCTAGCAGTAAGAACCCGGCGGTTGTTAAGACGATTGACGGATCGTTTTCCAGCGGCAATAATCTCTCAAAATAAATATATATATATTATACAGTCACTCAATCCACTATTTGTGGACTATTGTTGTGTGCAATTGGTCGCTGTGTTTACCCACAAAATACACGGTCAATTCACTTTCGACTGTATCACGTGAAGCGCTTTGACACGTCTCAACGACATGATAAGGCATTGCATCAATTGCAAGGACTATTCTTCTTCTTGTCGTCGCTGAGGCTCTTACCTGGCGGAGCAGCTGTGAGACCACCTTGATCTGCTGTCCCCGAGAGAGAAGGTAAGGGAGCGGGACCCCAGTCACCCTGGCCATCTCCATGTAGTTGATGACGCACATCAGCTTCTCCAGGAGCCGCAAAGGAAGGTAAGCGTCCTTCAGGCAGTACACGGCCAGCCTCCGCCGCGTCTGCTCATTGCCATTCTGAAAACCAACAGCGCCATAGCTTAGGCGCCTGGAACCCCATCCCACAGTCCTTCCGCCTCGCCCCCTCCCTTGCCTCCTTCAAGACCCATCCAAGGGCCGCCAGCAGAATATGTCCTTACCATAAGAACATAATGTAAAATTACACTTGTATAGCGCCTTTCACGTCGGGAGTCAAATAAGAATTTGCTCACCACCCTGGCAGTCGCTTGACATGTTTCGCCCACAAAATATAGTCAATTAATTTTACAGTGTGTCCTGTGAAGCGCTTTGAGACGTCTCGAAGACGTGACAAGACTTTATATCAAATGCGAGTATTATTATTTATTATTACACTTACACGTCAGTTCACCGAGGCTATCCCCCACCGCCCGCCCGCCCCCTCCACACCCAGTGTCGCTACCTGTAGGTCACTGATGATGGAGTGCTGCACGTCCTCCTTCTGCTCCTGTAGGAAGTGGAAACTGACTGCGTTCAGTGTGTACGACCGCAGCTTATAGTCTCTCAGAAGCACCTGTCCACAGAGAGAGCGAGAGAGAGAGAAAGAGAGGGAGAGAAAGGTGACTCCATTTAAGAAACTTTTATAGCACATCATGACCGAGCTGCCTCCTCACCTCAGCACCGATCTGCAGTCACAAGATCAGTTTGGATGAAGAAGGTCCTTAGGCCCTCTCAACCTTCCAGAATCTCTACCCAACCATCCTCCCATAACAGCATCAAGCACTTTTTTTGAATGAGTCCATTGATTGCTCTGGCCTCCGTCACTCTTCCATGTCCGTGTCTTGTGAGGGGGGGGGGGGCTGGGGTGAGAGTCATCTTAAGATTAGAGCCAGGCCATTTAGGAGTGAAATTAGGAGGCAGTTTTTCACCCAAAGGGGGTAGTGGGATCTGGAGCTTTCTCCCTCCCCCAAAAGGCTGTGGATTATGGATGGATTCATTCAGATTTTCAAGACTAAGGTGGATAGATGTTTGTTAAGTCAGGCGATCAAAGGATACAGGGTGAACGCGGGTAATTGGAGTTGAGGTACAGATCAGCCATGGTCTAATAGAGTGGTAGAACAGGCTCGAGGGGCTGAACGACCTATTCCTGTTCCTATGACGCTCAGTGATATCAGTTTATAACGTCTCTGCGGTGTTTGTCAAACTCCTTTTGGAAGTCTAGACACACTGTCAGATGACTACCCACAGTCTATTTCGAAAGCTGAGTGTTTGATCAGATGAGATCTAACGCTTCTACAATAACCCTGGCATTTGATAAAGGGCCTAACCACGTCTTCGAGGCGACTCAAAGCGCTTCACAGTAATTCACTGTAAAGTGAATTGACTGTATATTTTGAAACGCAGCAGCCAATTGCCCACAAACAGTCGTGGATTGAGTGACCAAATTATTATAAATTTTGTTTTGGAAAGGATTATTACCCCCAGGAAAAGCGATCCGACAAACGACTAACAATCCGGTTCCTACATCGGTAAACAGAGGTGGGTGGAATAAGGCAACTTGCCCAACGTTTCTGCCCGGGAATCGAACCCAGGTCCCCTCGCTCGCTCGAGACGAGGGCTCTAACCACTGAGCTACAGGACTCCGCTTGGTAGTTAACCTGTACTGTGAGCTCAAAACCCTACATGAGTGTGTGCGTGTACGTGTGCGTGTGCATGTGTAGGTGTGCGTGTATGGGGTGGTGAGCGGGGGGGGGGGGGAACGAAACCTGGGGAATGGTGCCACCCACCTGTAGGAGGTCGAACTGCACCCGGCCCTCGATGTTGATCACCTTGTTCTCTCGGCGTCCCATCTGACGGGATTGGAAGGAAGAATCCCGGATCACGGATTTAATGCCGGGAATGCGGCCCAGGAAAGGAAACGTGAGCACCTGGACGTTAGAGAGAAAAACAAGAGCACGTAAACAGGTGAGGAGAGAAATATACCACCTCAGCAAGCAGAGCAGTCATCGGGACTGTCTGGGGGGTGGTTGGGGGAAAGGAAAGAGGACATTCCCAGGGGCTGCTATCTGGAGGTCCTCTCCCTGGTAAACAGCTCTGCGCAATTGGCAGTTGCGTTTCACCCACAAAATAGAGCCAATTCACTTTGTAGAATAGACTGTGAATCTCTTTGAGACGTCTCGAAGATGTGATGAGGCGTCAAACGCAAGGATGATGATTATTATTATTATTAATAGGGTGTTAATCACAACAAATGACATTTACACAGCACCTTTCACGTGGGGAGGTCATCCCAAGGCGTTGGATAGTCAGGGATTTGCACTAAAGTTGAGGTTTGGGATCAGGAGGGGTGGAGGGAAGGGAGAGTGGGGGGTAGGAGGGCGACTGAAGCCACGGCCGAAGAAGAGGGTCTTGAGACGGGCCCTGAAGGAGGCAAGGGAGTGGGGGGGGGGGGGGGGGCGAAGGGACTATGGGATGGAGATTCAGTGGAGGGAGCAGAGAGGCTGAATAAAAAGCAGTGGGACTTACCTTGAGTGCGTGAGCCCTGTTCAGTAGGTAGGGCAGGTCAAAATTCTGGATGTTGTAGCCAGTGATTAGATCTGGATCCACCATACGGATAAATTCTGCCCAGGCCTTTGGGGAAAGACAAAAAAGAAAAATAATAATAACCCTTGGCGTTTGAAATAGCGTCTTCAAGACGTCTCAAAGTGCTTCACAGAATATACTGCAAAGTGTAGAGACTATGTATTTTGTAGGCGAAATTGAGCAGCCATATTCGGTGAGGCGCTTTGAGTCCTTTTCTCAATGAAATGATACATCAAATGCAAGGATTGTTATCATTATTATTACTATCCACAAAATACACATTACAGTAATGTGTGCCTGAGGTCCTCCCGACTTGTATCAAATGTGAGAATTATTAATAACATGCCTCTAACGGTAAAACTTTTAATTTGACGAACCATCTAACATGTCAAACGCGTCGTGTCATAAATAACAATCCTTGCATTTGATACAGCGCCTTATCACGACTTCGAGATGTCTCAAAGAATATACCGCGGAGCGAATTCACTGCATATTTATTGGCGAAACGCGGCAGCCAATTGCGCGCGGCAGTGTCCCGCTTGCAGGGCACTCACTACTTGCAGATAAATTAAGTCAACTTTCACTTCAAGATTGTGGTCTGTTACGTCAGATACTGGGACTTGATCTCATCGATTGGAGTCGGAGTTGTCAGCCGGGGGGGCGGGGGGGGGGGGGGAAGGGAGAGGCAGAACTAGTTTTGTTTTGTCGCAGAGGGGCCATCTTTCGGATGAGATAATAATTGAGGCCTCCTTTATACCCTCTTAGGCAATGTTAAAAGATCGCATGATCTTCACCGGAAAGGAGAAGGTTTCTCCAGGTGTCCTGCCCGAGCCAACAATCCTTCAGATAAAACTGCTCATTCATGTCATGAATGTTCCTGAGTGTGCGTGTGCGACTGCAAGTGTGCGTGTCTGTATGTATGTTTGACTGCGTGTGTGTATGTCTGTATGTGTGTGTGCGCGTGAGGAGGGAAGAGAGCTTGCTGTGAGCAACACGGCTCTTCGATTACCTACAAAAACAGTCACTACAGTGGATAGCATCTATTGTATTATGCGCTCAAGCCACAACCGGTTGCGGGTCACTGCTCCGCGCAACTGGCCCCCGCATTTCGCCCACAAAATACACAAGTCAATTCGCTTTGAGACGGCGCGACAAAGTGATAAGGCGCTGTAACAATCGCAAGGATTATTATTACTGATACTATTATTATTACTCTGTAGGACTCAGCTTTGCACTGGTCGGCGCAAGGCCTGGGAACTGAGCACATCTTCCTATAGCGAAACACAACCGAGTCATACGGAAACAGGCCAGTCCACCTTCTCCTCCCCCCACTGAATGGAACGAAGTAGCGTTGTGCTCAGTGGACCACGCACATCCTGGCCTGTGTGGCGGTGACTCCCCATCAAGCTGGTTTATCAACCTCTAAACTGAGAGGCTTTGCAATGCTATCGCTCAAACCCAATGCGCAACAACAACTTGCATTTATGCAGCGCCTTTCACATGGGGTAGTGCTCGACAGCGGCGGAGTCTGAACACCAAGCGAGGTGGGATGAGGTGACCGCAAGCGCGACGGAAACTCACCCTCGCGCGCATTCAGAAATTGGGGGCCCGCCGAGGAGAATGTGTCTTGTGATCATGATTCAGGCCAGACTTTAGGGGGCAGGACGCTGTCTGACTCAGGGAGGGAGAGGATATGGCGAGAGAACGGACCTCAGAATGAATCTCAGGCCCAATCTGCCGAAAATACCCACATTCATGGTAGTGAGCGAAACTCCAGTGAGTCAGCCTGGAGTCAGACTCACCTCATGTTCTGGGCATCTTCTGGATTAAAAACTTCTGGAAATCATAGAAACAGGAGGAGGCTATTCAGCCCCTCGAGCCTGTCCCGACATTTTATAAGATCATGGCTGATTTGTAACTCAAGTCTAGTTACCCACCCTTGCCCCATATCCCTTAAAACCCTGACCTAACAAATATCTATCTATCTCCGTTTTGAAAATGTGAATGGATCTGGCAAACAACAACTGGGTTATGGGATAAGAACGGGACAGTGGGACTAGTTGGTGGCTCTCTCAAAGAGACGGCACAGGCACGAGGGGACCGAATGGCCACCTTCTGCGCTGTAAGATTCTATGATAACAAAACAAGTTACATTTACACAGCGCCTTTCACGTTGGGAAGACCAAGATGCGGGACAGTCAGGAATTTGCCCCAAGCTGGGGTGGGGGGGGGTTGTGATCAGGAGGGAGGGCAGGAAGCGTGGGGGGGGGGGGGGGGGGGTAGGAGGGTGATCAATGGTGCGGTTGAAGAGACGGGCCTTGAAGGAGGCGAAGGAGGGACGCAGAGGGACTGTGGGATGGAATTTCAAAGGGTGGGGCATAGAGGCTGAAGGCCAAACCGACGATGATGGAGTGGTCAGGGCACGGCGGGGGACATGAGTGAACCCCAATGTCTCCTGGAGGAATTGAATTGCTTACGAGCCTCAATAAGAGAAGTTCCGAAAGGCAACTAAATTCATCCCACAGCGAGACAAAGAGAGTGCGCGCGCGTGCGCGAGAAAGAGAGAGACAGACAGAGAGAGAGAGAGCAGATTCCTGCTCAATTCCTGCACCTTTAGCAGCTCGTTCTCCTGCTCGAAGCACATGACCTGGGAGCCCACAATGTTGGCACAAGCCTTGAGGGTGAAGACATTACGGATGAAAGGGTCCTTCTCTCCCTGTCTCAGCACCATGTTCGCGATCTGGATCACAGGGTCCTTGTCAGGCTCCGGGAATATACCTGCGTGGGGTGGGGGTGGGAATAAGCTTAGAATCAAATCAATGTAAATCTTCTACATAGTAATGCTCTCCCAACAAAATACAAATAAAATGGGTCACTCGATGCCCCATTGGCTGCCGCGTTCCACCCATAAAATACAGTCACTCCACTTTACAGTATATTCTGTGAACGCTTTTAGAGACGTCTCAACGGTGCGATAAGGCGCTGTATACATCAAATGCGAGGATTATTATTATTATTAAATTCTTTACTCCCATTAAATAATCGGGGGGGGGAATAATGAAACCTTTAAGGAACAACTTGCATTCTACATAGCGCCCTTCACGCCAGACCGCGTCTCGAAGCGCTTGAAGAGGATGGTCACTGTTGGCAACAACAACAACAAGTTACACTTGTATAGCGCCGTTCACGTCAGGAGGACGTCCCACGGAAAAAAGACGGCCGCTGTGTTAAACGTACCCTTCCTGCCAGCACATTCGATGTCAAAGCTCAGGACTCTGAGTGGCGGGATCTTCTGCCACTCTCCCTCTGCAGGGTGGCTGATCATTTCAGTCCAGGACACATCCACCTCGAGCTGGGCCAGTGACACCTAGCAACACAACCCCAACCCAAAGGTCAACCTTAACGTCCGTCAACCACCTGAAATGCAAATGAAACCGGCGCCGTTCTTCCCTAATCAATCTTGAGATGAGACGCGCTGTGGAAGGGAAGCAGGACACTGTCAGCTGTGCTGTCTGCGCCGTTTTTTAGGGAGGCTCTTTCTGGCCGGTCGATGCTTTTTTGTTTTACGCCAGACATACCTTTCTGGAGTTGTCCTTTGTGTTGCTTGCAACCAACTGCTCTTCCCGCAAGTGATATTTCCCAGCAGGGATTTCTATCCAGTTACAACCCACAACGCCACTGTCTACCATGAACCTATCAGACAGACAAAAAAGGATTTTCAATTGATGTTTCAACTGCTTAGATATGTCCTCCTTATCAGATGGAGGATAATAATAATAATTATCCTTGTATTTGATACAGCGCCAATCACGTCTTTGAGACGTCTCGAAGCACTTCACAGAATACAGTGGAGTGTATTTTATGGGCAAAACGTGGCAGCCAATTGCTCACAGCAGTGTCCCACACACAGTCCTACACAGTCATGGATTGAGTAACCACATTTTTGTTGGATGGATGATTACCCTCGGCTAGCAATCCAACAATCGATTAACAACCAGGTTCCTACTTATGGCTAGGTAAATGGAGGCACGTGTGTGGTGTGTGTGTGTGTGTGTGTAGTAAGGAGACGTGCATAAAGTTTCTCCACACCCGGGGAATTCAACCCGGGTCCTCTCGCTTGAGAAGCAAGTGCTCTAACCCCTAAACTACAGGATTCCACTCAATATCAGGATGATGGAGAGAGACCAGCGGTGTTGGTACAGGAGAGCAGTGGGTATGGGTATGAGGAAGAGACTGAGAGGCTAGGACAAACAGAAAATCATCATAGGGAGAGGGACCTGAGGACTAGACTGGAATGCTGCAGTATCTACTATCTGCCATTACGGTGCCCTGAATCATTTCAATGGCTCTCTGAGGGCCTCTGTTAACAGGACAGAAGCACTGCAACCTCATAAGCGCCAGAAACACCCAGGAATTATTATTATTATCTCTCTCCGTCTCCTGAAACAAATGTGTCATTGTGTGCAATTGGCTGCCACTTTTCATAGGTTCAGAGAATTCATAGAATGTTACGGCACAGAAGGAGGCCATTCGGCCCATCGAGTCTGTGCAGCTCTTTGACAGAGCGTCATTTTCACTAACCCCAATCACCAGCTTTCTCCCCATAACCCCACAAACCCGTCTTCCCCAGATACCTGTCCAGTTCTCTCTTAAAAGCTGTTATCAAATCGGACCACAAAATACACATTCACCCCAATTTACAGTGTATTCTGTGAAGTGCTTTGAGACATCTCGAAGAGGTGATAAGGCGCTATATTAAATGCAAGGATTATTATTATTGTACTTAAGTCTGGACAGAGGGTGTTCAAACGCACCGTCAAACGTCACTTTTACCACTTTGATAAGAACAAAGTGGGGGGAGGGAGGATACCGTAAGCGCGGTCAAAGAGGAAGGTCTTCAGGTGCGACCTGAAAATGGGGAAGGAAGGGGCAAAGCAGAGGGATAGTGGAAGGGTGTTCCACAGTTGCAAGATGTGGTAGATGAAAGTGCGGCCACCAATGCTGGAACGGGGAGGACGAGGGACATGCAGGAGACCGGGTCCAGTCGAGAGGAGGAAATGGCTGGGGCAGTGGGCTGGGGAGGAAGCAGGTCGTAGAGGTAGGGAAGTGCCAGAGCATTGCTGAAGTGCTACACATGAAGCTTAACAACATCAACAAATTACTCCTAACCAACCTGTCCGTTCCCTCCGCTCAGCGGGCTCCATCCTGCTTCACGTCCCTCCACCTCGCCGCCTCCCTTGCTTCCTTCAATACCCGTATCAAGACCCTCCTGTTTGACTGTGCCTTTGGTCACCCTCCTACCCCTCTCTCCACCCCCTCCTGATCCCAACCACCAGCTCGGGTGCGGATCCCTGACCGTCCAGAGCCTTGGGACGTCCTCCTGGCGTGAAAGGCACTGTGTAAATGTCGTGTGTTGTCGTTGCATATCGCCCTTCAGGTCGGAAAGACATCCCAGGGCGCTGGACAGTCGGGGGTTTTGTGCTACCCACGTACCTGATCTCGAACTCGATGTTGGCCTCGTAGGACTGGTAGTTGTGCATGGGGAAGTGGCCGAAGTGGAACCCGAGCTCCAGCAGCCGTTTGGCGGGGGCGACCAGGCGAGGGAGCGCCATTGTGATCTTCAGGAAAGGCAGCTTCTTGTTTCCGCAGTAACTGTACATATCTGCGGGATTCACACGGTGATTACACAGCTCGCAAAGAGAGTTACAAACATTCTCTCCGACGTACACACCGCCCCAATTCCTCCAGTTACAGTCTGGGTATAGGATGTTCAAACACGCTGTCACTCTTACCACTTTGATAAGAACACAAAATACACGGCCAATTCACCTGACAGTATAATCTCTTTGGAACGTCTCGAAGACGTGATAAATTTATTAAGGTTGGGCATCAGGAACCAAGCTGCTAAACCAGGCTGACGCCCAGCCTGCAATGTCAGAGGTGCTGTACTTTAGAAGAGACATTAAACCCAGATTTGAAGGCTAGATTTCAGAACAGAAGGGTTTGTGGAAATGATTCCTCTTGCGGCCCATCAACAAATGACATTTACACAGCGCTTTTCACTTCGGGAGGACGTCCTAAGACGCTGGACAGTCAGGGATGTGGATCAGAGCTGGGTGTTGGGATTAGGAGAAGCGAAGAGGAGGGGACGTGGAGCAAGCCTACAACAGAAACTACACATGCATACTGGGGCGAGGCAGAGTGCGACAGTATTCTAGTGAAAGGGAAAAGATTGCGGGGTGGGGCGGGGGGGGGGGGGTGAGTGTAGAGGATTCATCAGAAACCGGGTGCAAGTCAAGACACTCACTCTCTTTCATACAGATGTCCACAGCCAGCACCGCCTGTATGAGGTTGTCTTTGTTCGACCTCATGTCCTTCAGCACTACGTTGTTCAGTTCTCGCTGAAAGTCCCACAGATGCTCTGTACTGAATCCTGACAGGAAAAGCCCAGTGTCACAGTTAGCAATGGTAGGAATATAGGGGTGGGGGGGAGAAGGACGGCAGGGGGTAGGAGGTTGACTGAAGGTGCAGGTGAAGAGGAGGGTCTTGAAACATGCCTTGATGGAGGCAAGAACTATAATTAAATCTTACCGGCCTGCGCTTGGATGTAGAAATAAGGTGTGAAGCCGTGCACATGACAGCAGACGCTGTTTCCCTCCATGGTGATTCCGAACATCCGGATAATAGGAACCGGTCCCTGCCTGTTGCCTGGCATTCCTGTAATGTGACACCCTGCGAGAACAGAAAGCTCCCAATTAACAGTAAAACAAGAAAATGCAATCTATCAAATACGGGTTTAATAATAATAATAATCCTTGCATTCGATACAGCCGCTTTTCATGTATTCGGGACGTCTCGAAGTGCTTCAGAAAATACTGTAAACTATTTACAGGGCAAAATGTTGGGCAGGTTTCCTCACTTCACACACACGCCTGTTTATCTAGCAGTAAATACCCAGTTGTTAGTCGGGGGTAATAATTCCTTCAAAAACAAAGCTCGATCGAAAAGGAAGGTCTTTAGGCGGGATTAGAAAGTGGGGAGGGAGGGAGACTTCCAACACCAATGAATGAAGCACCCAGTGCTGGTGATGTGCGTCTGCGGAGGAACAGGACTTCTACAGCGCTACTCACCCACGTAATATTCTAACTCCAATTGCTGGAAGGTCAAGCTGTCAGTTTTGGGGTTGATCTTGGGCGGAGCAGGACGCTGCCATTTTGGGTTCACAACCTTCTGGGAAAAGAGCTTCCCTGAGAGAGAGAAAGAGAGAGAGAGAGAGAGAGAGAAAAGCAGTGAAAACCTCCCATAACTCACAGCCAATAACTCATTTTGTCACTGTATCACACAAACAAAATGACAAACCAGTAAAGGGTGATGGTGTGTGGGTGTGTATGTATGTATGTGTGTGTGTGTGTGTGTGGGTGGGTGTGTGGTATGTCTGTGGTGTGTGTGTGGTGTGTGTTTGTATGGTCTCTCCTTACCGACTGGAATCACATCATGGCTCATCTGCGACTCTTTGGCTTCCAGTGCCATTTCTGCCTCCACCTCGTCGAGGTAAGCCAGCTCCTCCTCAAAGTGAGAGGGCCCCTCATCCTCGGGGTCTGCCCTCGAGCGCTTGGCCTGCGACGGGTTCCCGCTGCTCCCCGAAGCTTTCTTCCGAACAGATTGCATCCTGCACTGAGACGGGAGAAAGGCGTCACCCCACTGCCACGCCAAGGGGCAGGCATGTCGCCCAGTCAACCCGCTTTACAGCGTGTCGTCCTGTGAAGCGCTTTGGAGACGTCTCGAAGGCAACGATGAGGATTATCCAGCGTTACGGATTACCGTTATTGACCATCGGTGGACACACTGTGCGGTTCACCCGCGAATCCTCAAAGCAGTCGCAGTCGATCGTCGCAGTCGGGTTTATTAATAGATAATATAATAATGGGAGATTCCTTGCATTTGGTACAGCGCCGCATCAGGTCGTTGAGACGCCTCAAAGCGCCTCAGGGGATACGCAGGACAAAGCCAACCGACTGCGCATTTCGGGGGCGAAACCGCACAGTGTACGAGTTCGGTTCAGACACGACGCCGAGGGCTCGGGGGGGGGGACCCGACCACTTCGGGACCGGAAGGGTTCCACTCTGGTGCTTCAGCGAACGACAAAGGAGGGCGCCCTTCGCAAGGGGTAGCGCCTCAGAGCGCTTGACGGGGGCGGAGTCTGACCACCCCCCCCCACTCCCGGGCCGGTGCCGGGAGAGGGGAGGGGGGGGGAAGAGGGGGATGTGACCGTACGCACCATCATAAAGGACCCCTCTCTCTCTCTCCCCCACCCGCCCGCCCCACTCCCCCCCGTCTCTGACTGAGTGTCACACAAACAAACCCGGAAAGTCCCCCCTCCCACTCCCCCCCCACTCTGTCTTTCTCTCCATCGCTCTCATTACCTCTATCCTTCTCTCTCTCTCTCTCTCTCTACGTTCTCTCTAGAACTTGTCTCTCCTTCTATCTCTCCCCCTTCCCTCACCCTCTCCCCTCTACCTCCTCCCTCTCTCCCCCCCCACTCCCCCTCACTCACTCCCCCCTCTGCCCCCCACTCCCCCTCTGCCCCCCCACTCCCTCTCTCCCCCCATCCCCCTCTCCCTCTCCCCATCTGACACCCCCCCCACTCCCCCTCTGCCCCCCCCACTCCCCCTCTGCCCCCCCCCCCACTCCCCCTCTGCCCCCCCCCCACTCCCCCTCTGCCCCCCCCCACTCCCCCTCTGCCCCCCCACTCCCCCTCTCCGGGACATTTATCTCCCGCTCCTGTTTCTCGGGGCTGTGATCCCCAGAGGCTCAGGGCCGCGGCCTCCGTGTCCCCCTCGCGGGGTGGGGGGGGGGGCGGTACCTGAGTGTGTGAGTGAGCGCGAGGCCGAGGCTGTGTTGACGGCCTTATCACCGCCGCCGCTTCTCCACTTTCCCGCCAAACTCCACCCCCCCCGTAACCCCAGCAACCAGCATCCCGCCCTCTGATTGGCTAACACTCCCCGCTCTCTGATTGGCTAATACACTACCGCCCTCTGATTGGCTAATCCATCCCGCCCTCTGATTGGCTAATCCACCACCGCCCTCTGATTGGTTAACACTCCCCGCCCTCTGATTGGCTAATCCACCACCGCCTTCTGATTGGCTCCAACTGATGCTCCTGTGATTATAAATAATAATAATAATAATAATCATTGCATTTGATAAAGCACTTCACAGGACGCACTGTAAAGTGTAGTGACTGTGTATATTGCGGCCGAAGCGCGGCGGCCAATTGCGCACGACAGCGTCTCCACAAACAGCCGCGGATCAGAGCGACCGCATTATTATTATTATTATTATTATTGTTATTGTTATTTCTTTTAAAAGGGATTATTAACCCTCAGGAACGCGATCCTCCAATCCACTCATAACCGGGTTCCCACTTAATGTTAAGTAAACAGAGGCGCACGTGCGCGTGTGTGTGTGTGAGTGAGAGAGTGTGTGAGAGAGTGAGTGTGAGTGAGTGTGTGTGAGTGTAGGTGTGTGAGTGAGTGTGTGTGTGAGTATGTGTGTGTGTGTGCGAGAGAGCATGTGAGTGAATGTGTGTGTGTGACTATGTGAGTGTGTGTGCGAGAGAGCATGTGTGTGTGTGTGAGTATGTGTATGTGAGTGTGTGTGTGAGTATGTGTGAGTGTGTGTGTATGAGTGTAAGTGTGTGTGTGTGTGAGTGTAAGTGTGTGTGTGTGTGTGAGTGTAAGTGTAGTGAAAGTGTGTGAGTGTGTGAGTGTGTGTGTGAGTGTAAGTGTGTGAGAGAGTGTGTGAGTGTGTGTGAGTGTGTGGGGCGTAAGGAAACTTGTCCAACCTTTCGCACCACCTGGGAATCGAACTCGGGTCCTCTCAGCTACGAGGCGAGGGCTCTAACCACCGAGACACCGGACTCCCAAACCACACTACCCGCCCACGACCCAATTCCAGGCTCCACCGCCCTCAGACAGTCACTCGCGCTCTCGCCTCCGAGTCAGAAGGTTGTGGACTCGAACCCCCGCGTCGTCGGGGAATCTGAGCTCACGGTCCAGGCTGTCGCTTCAGCCCAGTGCTGAGGGTAGAGAAGGAGAGAGAGAGAGAGCGCTGCACTGTCAGAGACACCGTCCTTCGAATGAGACGTCGAACCTCACTCCCCGTCTGCGCCGGTCCAGGTGGACGTTAAACATCCCACACAGTGCTGTTGGAAAAGAGAAGGGAGTTTCTCTCTCGCGGTGAACTAACGGGCTGACAATCCTACAAATACACAGTCACTTTCAGCGCTTCGAGGCATCTCGATGGCACGATAAGGCACAATATCAAATGCAATGATGATAATTTTTGCAGCGGGGAGGAGGAGGCGGGATAGTGGGGGAGTGGGATGGGGAATAGTGAGGTGGGGAATAGTGGGGAAGGGGGAAAGCAGCAGAACACACAGTCACTACAGTGGATCAGAGATATCCTGACATGAAAATGGAAGAGTCCTACTTGCTTTTTTAGCAGGAGTGAGGAAAACAAACTCCACATCTTATTTTTTTCTCCCCCCCCGTGAGAGAATGTCACAGTTTATCTCAAAATGTGAGTGATGAGGTGAATATTACTGTTTGGATTGCTGATTGGAGGCAAATTAAGCTCTCAAACAAACAATTAAGGTTAAAATTCCCAGGGCTTGGGATAGTTCGGGGTCCGCTGTTAATCGCGTACAGTGCTGTTTCCCAGCAATAACATCCCTCGACTTGATAAGACTTACCTCTTCGACCTTGTCTACGCTCACGTCCCCCTTCTCTATCGGTCAGTATCCAATTCTGCCACTGTACAGCGCTCCGAGACGCTATCCTGGAGTCCCGTAGCTCAGCGGTTAGAGCACTCGCCTCGCAGGAGGGTTCGACTCCCAGGCAGGGTGAGACCTTAGGCATATTTCCTTCGCCAACACACGCACACGCACACACACACACACACGTCTCCGCTTACCCGGCAGTAAGTAGGAAAGCAGTCACTTTCCAGGGGTTTAAAAAAAAATCATTGTCACTCAATCTACCGCTCTGTGCGCAATTGGTGTTTCGCCCACAAAATATACAATCCACTTTACAACGTGTTCTGTGAAGCGCTTTGAGACGTCGCGACGATAAGGCAGTGTATCGAACGCAAGGATTACTATCATTCGCTTTCCTTCATTGGATAACTTTTATGTTCTCTTCTAGGAATGTCGTCGGGAATAGGAAAAGCGGGAGCAGCAACAACAGTAACAAGATTTATATTTATAAAGCGGTTATAATGCGGTTTTTAGCCGTGTTGGACTCCAGACGTTACCTTAACGTTACACTTTCTGCTCTCCCCCACCACCCCCACCCCCACCCAAGCCTCGGCTCTTGCCAACCTGCGCAACCTTGCCAATACTTTCTGGAATTAGCTGAGCAGGGCGCGTCCTTCCAGGGAGAGAAAGGGGGAGAGAGAGCGCATCTGGGACGTCAATGTGTAGGTGGGAGGCGTGGAAATCTCAGCTTGGTTTGGAGACTCTTAAGCAACGGCGATGTGTTGCGTCAAACCAAAAAGTGGGCAAGTCTCCAGCCCTCGGGAAAGTCCAATATGCCCCCCCCCCCTCGTTGCTGTCTCCCCTGCCTTCGGAAACGATGACATCTTGTAAAGCAAGCGCTGGTCCAGATGTGAGGCTCAAGGCAAGGTAAGTGCCTTCTGTGCAAACAGGAGCTCATTTACACGGCCTGTGGACAAACAGTACGTGTATACGCTGCCCGCGCTGTACAGCTGCCTGTGCGAGAGACAGCCACTTGCTGGGAGAATGTAACTGTGAAGTAAAGTGAATCGACTGTGTATTTTGCAGAGGCTCATTCACTCGGAAGTGAGCAGGTTTACGAACCTCCCTCCACCCTATACGTCCTCCCACTCAGCTCTCGTTGATCCTGTTCATCGAGTGAGGTCATTGTAAAATTGGATGCCTAGAAAACCCAGGGACTTGCCCAAAGTCAGTAAATACTTTCCACCTCAATCCATCCGCGTCAATCCACCCCCTCAATCCTCCCCCTCAATCCACCCCCCTCAATCCATCCCCTCAATCCATCCCCTCAATCCATCCCCTCAATCCATCCCCCTCAATCCATCCCCTCAATCCATCCCCTCAATCCACCCCACTCCCCGCACATCATATCTTCCTCTTCTTCCCCCCATCCACCCTCGACTGGCCCCAAATTTTATCTGACACCCCCACCACGCCACCCCCGACATGAACCCCAGGACCCCAGTCCCAATTCAACCCCCGAAACTGGCTCCGACAGTACCCCAACCTGACCCTCAGGAAGTTCGCCCCAATTTGACCCACGACATGAACCCCTTCCCCCCCACCCCGATCTGACCCTAACCCCCCGCCCTGACCCTCCCTCCCCCGCCCTGACCCCTCCCTCCCCCGCCCTGACCCTCCCTCCCCCGCCCTGACCCCTCCCTCCCTCGCCCTGACCCCTCCCTCCCCGCCCTCCCCCCCGACCCTCCCTCCCCCGCCCTGACCCCTCCTCCCCCTGACCCCTCCTCCCCTGACCCCTCCCCCCGCCCCTCCCTCCCCGCCCTGACCCCTCCCTCCCCCCCTGACCCCTCCCTCCCCGCCCTGACCCCTCCCTCCCCCACCCTGACCCCTCCCTCCTCCGCCCTGACCCCTCCCTCCCCGCCCTGACCCCTCCCTCCCCCGCCCTGACCCCTCCTCCCCCGCCCTGACCCCTCCCTCCCCGCCCTGACCCCTCCCTCCCCCGCCGGACCTTGTTGAGCGCGGCAACCCTCTGTGCGAGCTCAGCCTCCACCTCGGGCAGAGTCTCTGCTTTGCGGAGTGTCTGTTGGAGCTTCTGTTTGGACGTGTCCAGCCAGTCCTGCAGCTGCCTGTTCTTCTCCTCACTCTGGAACGAGAGAGAGAGAGTGCTCAGCGCTCAACACTCCTACCCCTTCACCCCCAGCCCACACACGCACACGCACAAGCGTACACACGCACCCGCAAGCGCACGCATAAACACGCACACACACACACTCCCTTCGACTTACGAACAGCGCTCTGACGGTAACCTGCATTTACACAGCGCTCCTCAGACATGGGTGTAGGGTCCCAGAGCCTTCGACAGCGACTGAGCCGGGGGGGGAGGGGGGGGACCATGGGCACGGTCGAAGAGGAAGGTCCTCAAGCGCGACCTGAAGATGGGGAAGGAGGGGGTGAGGCGGAGGGAGGGATAGAGGGAGAGAGCGACAACAGAGTGTCGGGGCGCAATGGCTGAAAGCGAAGCCACCGACGGTGGAACGGAGGGCACGAGGGACAAGTCGAGGGGAGGCGGCCGGTCGGGGAGTAAG